TATGACCATCTTGATTTAAATAATCAAGTTTATCTCTAATAATAAAACTTTTATCATAAGTGTGTTTGGAAACCATGAAATATATTTTTGTATAACTAAGGAGGTTTTTTAGACCTTAGACCAAAGAGAAGTAACTTTGTATTTTCTATTCATCCTGATAATAAACTGAAGGAGATTATGCCTGTTAAGTTACAGCTAAACTTTCTAATATTTCAATACCACAACTAAAAACCGCTATGGCAACTCTCCTGCAAATTCCACATTTTCATTTTTCTCATAATAATGATCATAATAGGAGAAAATCTTCAAAGGCATATTTTAAAGAAACAATATTTGGAAGAAACACTGGAATAAGGTCAGAAGAATTGAATTCTAAGCTGACTTTTCTTACTATGTGTCTGTGGTGACGTCTAAGTCTGAATTACGTGATCAGTAAAATGGGGTTAATGATAGATGCCCTTTTTAGTGTACAAGGCTCTCATAAGGGAAAAAAAGACAAAAGGTGGGAATTTGAGCTTTTATGAAGAAAGATTTTGTATTACCAAAGTTTTTCAATATCATTTGTAATGCGGCTGACAATTTTTATAAATTATATGTCTTATTTGAAATGTGTAGTTAGTTATACCTCGAGGCAATCACCACAAAAAGTAGGCTTGTATACGAAAAAAATCGCATGTTAAAAATGGGTACATTTTAATGTTTCAGGAAGATGCCTTTAGAATTAGCCTGTCATCTCTTTTTGTGTAAAATATAAGGCTGACTAAAGATTTTTTCCAATCAATGATTTGGCCTGTGTCATGGGATTTTTTTCTCAGACCACTAGATGGCGGAATTTGAGGTCTAAGCCCTGCCGACATGATTTGTCAGATGCTTAGTGATAGAGTGACCTCTCCTTTGGAAAAGGCAAAGTGAGGAAAATAAGAGAGAAAGGGATGTTATTAATACCTGAAGTTACATAATTTTTCCCTCTCAGCGGCAGAGTGTAGAGCACAGCATAAGGTCAGGAGACCTGTTCCTACGCACAGTGTTTCACTAACTAGCTCTTGGAGGACTCACTTCACTCATCTGGGCATAGGTTTCGTCATCTAGTCAGTTCTCTTCAAAAGCATCTTCTTTCTCTCTGTCTCTGTTTTTCCTTCTCTGAAACCAGGGCAGGGATCATGAGTTCTGTGGAAGCCACAGTGCATGTATACAGGCACTCGAGAAGGATGATAATGGTGTTCTGTCTAAGAGCATGGTCTGAGAGGGCAGCCAAACGAAGGTCACAACCATCAGGTTCTGTTCCTGGTTCTGCCCTGCTCCACAAGCAGCATGTGACTACCGTAAACTTCCTCTGACCTCGCACACTTCTCTATAAAACTGACTCTGGAACGTCTGACACCTGCCTCCTCTGAGGCGCGTTTACAAGGATTAACGAGATAACGCTCCCGAAGGCCAGACCTTTTAATGAAAGCTGCTAATTATAAGCAAAGCTTCAGTGGGTCAGGACATAACTAAAGTCTGACCCTTCATCAGTGTTAAAATGCTCTTGAATTGGGTGACATCATTCCCACATGTGAAAGAACATTTTGCTGGAGAAGTGAAAATGATGAAGAGGGAAGCCTTTGAAGGAAAGTGCAAAGACCAGGAGACAACTTGTCTGCGCAAGAGATGAGTAAGGGTGAGGAAATATTCTCCTCATTGTTAAGAAGGACTCTTGCATGGGAGCGGAAGTGGATCTTTTCCCAGTTCACTGAGGACAGGAGGAGCAGACAAGAATTTGCATGACATCAGAAAGGTCAAAAAGACATAAAAGGTTTAGAGAAGAGATATTTGGGAAAATGGATATAATACATGCTCTTAGTTTCATATCAAACAGACCTGTTTCTTTTAAGTGTTTTTTTTAAATTGTGATAAGAATACTTAACATGAGATCTACCCTCTTAAATGTTTAAGTGTACAATACATTATTGTTGACTATAGCTACAATGTTGTACAATACACCGCTAGAGCTCATTCATCTTGCTTGACTGAAACTTTATGCCCATTGATTAGTAACTCTCCATTTCCTTCTCCCCACAGTTCCTGGCAACCACCATTCCACTCTTGTATTCTATGAATTTGACTATTTTAGATACCTCATATGAGTGGAATAATGCAGTATTAGTCCTTCTGTGACTGGCTTCAACCATGTTGTTGCATACTGCAGAATTTCCTTCTTTTTAATGCCATTGATGTATACACCATATTTTCTTTATCCATTCATCTGTCAATAGACTTTCCACATTTTGGCTACTGTGAACAGTGCTGCAATGAATATGGAAGTGCTAATATTTCTTTGATATCCTGATTTTAATTCTTTTGGATAAATACCCAGAAGTGGGATTGGTAGATCATAATAGTAACTCTATTTTAAACTTTTTGAGAAACTTCCATACTGTTTTCCATGGTGGCTGCACCATTTTGCATTCCCACCAACAGTGTGCAAGGGTTCTACTTTCTCCACATCCTCACCAACACTTCTTGTATTTTTTTTAATAATAGACATCTTTACAAGTGTGAAGTGATATCTTAGTGTAGTTTTGATTTGCATTTCCCTGATTAGTGACTTTGAGCATTGTTTCATATTCCTATTGGCCATTTGCATGTCTTCTTTGGAGAAATGTCTATTCAAATCCTTAACCTATTTCTTAATCGGGTTAGCAATTTTGCTTTTTTTTTTTTACTAGAGTTATAGGAATTCCTTATATACTCTGGAGATTAACCTGTTATCACATATATGGTTTGCAAATATTTTCTCCCATTCTGTACGTTGCCTTTTTACTCTGTTGATTGTTTACCATGCAGAAGCTTTTTAGTTTAATGTAATCTGACTTGCTTATTTTGTTTTTGTTGCCTGTGCTTCTGATGTCATATCCATGAAATCATTGTCAAGACCAATGTCATGGTAGTTCGCCCTATGCTTTGTTCTAGAAGTTTTATAGTTTTGGGTCTTATGTTTAAGTTTTTGATCCATTTTGAGTTGATTTTGTGTATGGTGTAAGATAAGGGTTCAATTCTATTCTTTTGCATGTGGTAATTTAGTTTTCTCAGCACCATTTGTTGAAGAGACATTTTTCCCATTTCCGTACTCAATGGTGAAAAATTAAAAGCTTTTCCTCTAAGATCAGGAGCAAAGTAAGGATAACTGCTCTCACCATTTCTGCTCAACATAGTACTGGAAGTCCTGGCCAGAGCAATTAGGCAAGAAAAAGAAATAAAAGGCATCCAAACTGGAAAAGAAGTAAAATGATCTCTTTTTGCAGATAACATGATTTTGTATGTAGAAAACCCTAAAGACACCACAAAAACCTGTTTATAACTAATAAATCTTTTCAGTAAAGTTGCAGGATATGAAATCAACATACAAAAATCAGTTGTGTTGTTATACAGTAACAATGAACTATCCAAAAAAGAAATTAAGAAAATTCCTTTTACAATAGCACAAAAAAAGGATGAAGTGCCTAGGAATAAACTTAACTAAGGAGGTGAAAGACTGTATACTGAAAACTACAAAACATTGATGAAAGAAATTAAGACAAAAACAAATGGAATGACATCCGTGTTCATGGATTGGAATACTCAATATTGTTCAAATGCCCATACTACCCAAAGCAATCTACTGACTCAGTAAAATTCCCTTCAAAATCCCAATGGCATTTTTTACAGAAATAGAACACAACCATCTGCATTTAGATATTTTTAATATTTCCTTTCCATTAAAACAGCTGGTATTCTTATAGTATTGCCCATAGAATTGATTTAGTGAAAAATTATTTCATTTTTCAAACTACTGTTTCAAGATCTTAGTTATATTCCTCCAATATGGAAAGAGAATTTTTAACAACCTGTTTAGTCCTGTGCTAAACTCACTACACTAGGACTAGAAGACCTGGATTTCCATTTCAACCACATGATCCACTAGCCATGACATAATGAAAGTAATAATGACAATAAGCGGGAAAATCTTTCATTTGGATTGTGTTTTTGAATGTGCAAATTTCTTTTTCACATGTACTAGTAATCAATTTATTATTTGCTTTCTGGGACTCAGTTTTCTTATCTGGAAAAATGGGGATAATAACTCCTACTCTGCCAACTTCACAGAGATACTGTAAGGAGGAAAGACAAAAAAGATATGTAACACTGCATTTAGAATCACAAGGCACATGTAGCACTATGATTGCCACTCATGTGAAGAGTCAGTACGGCAACGTATAATAATGTTAAGCATCAGGAGAGAAAAGAAGAATGAGATTGACTTAATTGGCCGGTTGTGAGAACCTGGAGGTGGCATCCCTGGACCTCATACATATCTCACATCCGTGCACACTTTCTAGGTCTTCTTCAAATGAACAACACTAGGGTAATAACCATAGTCCTGATTTAATCTGATAACCTGGCAGATTAAGGAAAGTCTCACTATGGCTGCATTTCCCCATCTCATCTTATATCTAAGAAATTTGAGCTAGTTCTGGATGATGCCAAATTCTGTCTCATATATGAGGACTGTGAAAGTCTTAGAGCACTTCCATTTGCAGGAAGCTTTATTTTCCTCTTGGGAAAACATTGCTCTGGGAATGAAATGGCTACAATAATATTCTCTGAGACAGCCAAGGGCCATCTCCTTCCATGTGCTGAAAACGATTATATAAAGAAATTGATTCGGGACATGCATGTTATAAAGTTGCCCTACTACATTCCCCTCTGTTTACCCTCTCAAAATATTTTTCCCTGTGTGGGACACACACTCCGCATACACTATGTGTTCAGAAAAATCGATAGATGGTTAAAGCATTTTTCTCCATTCACAATAGCTTTATCTCTGTGCTTAAATAAAATGCTTTTCGATCAGAATCCCCTCTCTTAGCACCTAATAATGAATACAACTGGAACTTGGTTCCATCGGAGTAGAAAATCACCAAACTGAGGACGAATCAAAGATTTTCAAAACATACTGACAGACCGAAAAATGTGCTCACCTGGGCAATTATGTCTGTGATTTCTGAATAGCTATGGCATCTTCCTACACAAGAGCGAGCCAAAAAGTCCTCCACCAGCCGTGTTCCAATGCCATATCCCCTGCGGATGAAGGAGAAGAGTGTGGTCTGAAGATAATATTTGAGAATTAGTGACGTCTATCAATGTTTAAGAATGGATTCATCTGATCGGCCCTTGCACAAGAGGATAACAAAGTAAACTAAACTTGACAAGTCAAATGGCTATTTGGCAGTGGGCTAAGGAGCCCCACAGACCATAGAAACAGAGAGCAACACTTCCAGGAAATATTAACTAGTCTCCTACAAGCAAAGGAGTCTGAGGAGTAAGGGCTGGCCCAAATTTGACAGTGTAAGTTAAAGTTAAAGGAGTCTGATGTGTGCAGCCTGATGTTTCTCATTAGCAGCTAACTCTCTCATCATTAGCTGTTGACGGAAACAGAATGAGGGTCTAGCTAGCTTTTTGTTGGCTACAGATGTGGTTCCCGGATGCTCATTTTTCTCTTAGCACAGCCGTTACGGTAGGAGGGAGGCGTGTCTGTGATGGGATCTGGAAGGAGGGGAAGAAGGGAATAGAGAAATCAGTTTTGTTGCAGGCATCAGCAGTTAGAACTCCGAAGTTTAGTAAAAAGAAAAAAAGCCAAATTCAGAAAATTCATTTCTCATACCAGGGAAACTGAAGCTATGGGACTTGGGAGAAGCTATTTGTATTATCTGTTAGCTCCAGCACACAGCAAACAGCTTGAGCAGTACCTGAAGTACGATTCTGAAAGTCTTTTATTGAGATGCGATAATACAATGGAGAATGTGGCTAAGATGGCTGAGAAGACACCTTCAACAAGCTAGACCTAAGAACCTAAGAACTTTCAATCTAGTTGAGGAGATATGGCCTTAATGGTAGAAATAGAAAGGAATAAGACTGCTTTTGCCAAATTGTTGGCACAAAATTGTCTTTGAATTTTACAGCCACACATGCACAGACAAGTGAAGGAATTTGAACGGAGCAACATATTCCCAGCAAAGTAAAGACTCCACAGTTGCAGACGCAATATTTGCTCCATAGGGTCTAAAAGTGGGGGAGATATTTTGCGACAGGGTGGTTGGAGGGAGATGGATTTGATGTCAGAGTGCTCGTTAATTCATTAAATCTATGAGATATTCTATTTATATTTCTGAGTGCATAGAAATATTCAATTTAGCTTACTTGCCTTTCGAGAAAAATGTTCTGTGATCCTAAACAGGAAGTTCCCACTGAAAAGACTTTCAAAGAACAGAACATACACTTTACAGAAATAGTTGTACCAGGATTTAAAAAACGTTTCCAGTGTTTTCTAATTTTTCTGCCTATCCACAGGCTTGGCCACTGGCGACAGTAATGGGAACCCAGAACATTATGGTTAGTGCAGCGTACGTATATATATCTTGCTTTGGTCAAAGGTATGTTTCTGTAAAGTAGATATTTTACATATCAAAGTAAAAATGTAAGATGCTCTCAGCAGAAGCTATTAAAGAAATCCAAATGTGAATTATTGTTTTTTTAAGGCAAGGCTTTTCTGCAGCCTCTCAAAATTTATTCTTTAATGTTTCATTCACATTTGTTGAAATGTGCATCCATGTAGCTAACCAAAGGTATTTTTTTAGTCAAACAAATGTTTCTTCATTTTCTACAGCTGTTTCACAAAACAACGCCAATTTAACATAAGTTAAATAAAATGGCGTAACTTCTGGAAATGCTACATCACATGTTTAAGGATGACCAAAGTGTAAAACAGTTTAAGCAGCTCCCACCATTACAGACAGTTTAGCTGAAAGAGTGCTCCTGACTAAGAAGAAATGAAAAAAAAAAGTGTGTGAACCAAAATAAACACAGGACCATGGAAAAGAACTTTCCAATAGAAAAAGAATAAGCAAAAAGAAAGGAAGGAAACCAAGGGTTCAAAACAAAAAATCTTTCAAGCTCTCCTTTGTCTTTTTTCTGTATTCCAACTGAAAATAAAATAAAGTAAACTTTAAAAAGCTCTAAAATGCCCAACTGGGCTAATTTCGCCCTTCAATCTGTTTAAATCTTCTAACTAGTACAGGTTTTCCAATCACTGCCCTCTTAGTGTCCATTTCAGGATCCATTATTAAGAGGTTTAAAAAATACTGACAGATATTTTATTATTGGGCATGAATCTGATGATCATATAATTATTCTGAGAAAATTAAAGGCTGAATTTGTGCAGACAGAATTCCCATGAATAAAGTCAAAAAGAATGGTCTTTATTTTCAAAGGAAATAGTGAGTTTCTCTATTTAATATATTTTTAAGTAAAGCATAGTAATGTAAAAGCATTCAAACAATAAAAATACTGCATAGGAGAAAGTAAATCTCTCTTCAACTATAATCCTCATTCTCCCAGTTCTCTCAGGAAACTACTGTTAGTAGTTTTTTGCATTTCTTTCCATAGATGGTCTCTGCTTATGTAAGTAGATGTTTATATTGGAAGGAGTTATGTTTGAACAAAAGACTTCTGAAAGGATTCCAACTTGATGATCCATCATAGCGTTAAAACAATGATTTTGGTTTTACCACAGCCTTTGCTTATAAGCGACTAGCAAAGAAATGATTTCTAACCAAAAAAAAACATTCCACGCTTGATATTCATAGAAAAGAAGTTCCTTCCTATTGCTTTCTACTTTAGGACAATCCAAATGGCAGTTGTCAGAAATTATGTTCGGTTTAACATGTGAATCATTGAAGGAAGAGAAGAGCTGATGAAATGGAACTGGAAAGTCATCAGAGGTGGACAAAATGCAGAGGATGCTAAGAAACAACATACATTCCACAAGAATGAAAGACTTCTACTTACATCTTATCTAAATATTTATTCACATCTTCATCTTTCTCATAATCCTTACACAGTTGGGCAACCAGAGCTCCATAGGTGAGGACGAAAAGATCTTTGTTCTAGAGAAAAAGGGTTGGTTTTATGTTACAGGTAAAGTTACAAACAATATGTTACTCTATTACTTTTCCACAAATCTTTCTAGTTGGAAGCAGATTTCCAGATCATCTGTTCACTTTTTCCACCCTCCTTCTAATTATTGCCACAATTTTCACTTTTAAGAACAAATTGTACCCATAATCGGATACATTACTTGGTGGGTGGGGAGAGCTGTGAAATAAAATAAATTTTTTAACACAAGGACGTCTTTCTGTGCATTTGTTTCCATTATATAACTTGCAATGTATTTTCATGGAGGAAGTTTTTTAAAAGAATACTAGTTGCTGATATAAATTTCTAACGTTCTAGAATGGCCTTTGGTATATGCCGAGCATGTTTTCAGTTGAAAGAAATAATTGGGTGAGACTTCTCATGATTCTGCACAATCCCTAATGGATTCTGAATCTGCCAAGGAGACCATCAGGAGGAAGACAGCTGTAGCAGCAAATTTTTGAGATTTCTTTTTTCTTTATACTTTGATCCCAGAATGCCAGAGGGGTCATCTGCAGGCATTCCCAACCAAGGTGTGCCAGTTAGTCATATAATTCTATACCTATGGCTGAAATTAGCTTAATTTTATCCAACACCCATCAGTGTCCTGAAATAATTAAAGGAGCTTTAAACTTAATGGTGGGATTTCACATCCATAACTTCTGAATGCCTAAAACTATAGTGAGAAGATTAAAGAAGAATATTTATCTAAATCTAATCTCAAATAATTAAATTTTTAAAGTAACTCTGAACTTGGAATATATAGAAAGGATAATAGCATATACAAATAATAATAATAAACACATTTAAGACAAGGAAATATATGTTTAAAGATAATCTTTTAATCCTGAGTTTTTTGGTGATCTATTCCTATTCAATTTAACACATAATCAACTATTTTATATACATTCATTTCCTATTTCCTAAGTATGAAACAAAGAATTACAAGTATGAAATACAAAGCATTGTTTAATCTTTTCATATTTTCTGTCAGAGATGAAAGAAAAATTTGACATTTTTATAGATCTAATTAGTCAGAAAAGAAGACCCTAAAATATGCATAAAGAATCGATTATCCTGTTACAGTGTGTAAGAGATCATTGCAACTATTCCCAGAGTTGTCATTTGTGATACACTCCGCTAAACACTTCCTTGCTCCACTGAAAAAATCTACTTATAGTGACACCTTTCAAAATAAGTCAGAAATCACTCAAGAAAACATTTTCTCTGAAGTTGAAAAAAATCTCTTTGAGAATATATTTATAAAAAGATCTTACTATTTTACGGTATTCTGGTCTTCTGTGTGTAGGGCAAGACATAGCGCTGGATAGGTGAAGAATATGATCTTCGATTTCTTTCTTTTGGCTTCTTCTTTAGAGATGTGCCAATCTTTGTCCTTTGGTTTGTTTTTTTTGAGTTCCTCCCTGCTTTGAAACACGAGTGCTACTTCTGCACTCTCCTGCTTTTGCTCTTTGCTGAACTGAAGAGGAAAACCATCACAAACCAGGACAGCCTGGTAGCCTCGTATCTTGCCGCTGATCACATCCTGCTTCACTTGCGAGGAGGAGCTGTAATCTAGAGGCATTAAGCTGAAAGTGAGAAGTCAGACCAGAAGCACCAGCTACTGAAAATTCTTTAGCCCAAGGGAGTATAAGAGTGGTGTTCTGTTCTCATGCCAAGGCATTGTTTTAAAATCACAGACAGAAACCTTCACAGTCCAAGAGAGATCTAAAGGTTCGCATTATTCAGTCTTCATATTGATTGTTGTGTGAATTCCAGACAGGATCAGCAATCTTTAGCCACTAAATCCTGGGTTCAAACCTAATCAACAACTCTAACGGCTATCACATTATACCCCAAATAATGGGTATCACAGACCCTCATCTTGTGTGATTACAAAATTCAAATATAGCCGGTACCTTTTTTGCTTCATAAACAGCAACTTTAAGGATTGATAGAGTTTAGCTGCTGATATTTTCTCATAAAACTGTTGCTCAAAATGGGTGTTCTACAGTTTAATAATGTATAATGATTCTGGCAGAGAAAGCAAGCCCTTGGCTTTCTTCCGATAGTCCCTGAGACGTCAGCTCTTGAAGGCTCTCTTTATTTGTGCAGAAGTACAGATAAAATTAAAACAACAAACTCTCTCATCTTGACAACTGCAGGGTGCGGAGGATCAAAACCGTTCCGGGAAAGAAGCATAAAACTCCATTTAAGAAAGTAGTTTCCCACTTAAGCTTGAGTCAATAAGCTCCATGTGTTCTGGAAAACTCTTGCTATAAAGTGACAGACTAGTGGCTATTTTGAAGAAGAATGTGGTGTAGTTGAAGGAGCCTAGGAGGATGTGGAAGTCAGGCTAAGCCGCGGTTCTACCATTTACGGGCTGTGTGGCCTCCGGCAAGCCGTTTTATTGCTCTATGGCTCAGTTTCCACATCTGTGAAATGACAATAATAATACCCAACTCACGGGATAATTGTGAGTATCAGAAAGATAATGTATGCCATAAAACACATTATAATGCACTATAGAAACACTAATTGCTATAGATTATTCTTGTAGGTGGATATATTCAATGGAATTCTACAATATTTAAGGTATTTCCATTAGTGCCTATCTTCAATGACACTATTATGAGGAAAATCAGTTTTGCTGGGTTGTACGGTATAGATTAATAACACATTATAGTTATATAAACTACAGTTTACAGCATGGTTTTCATTTTCTTTTTCTCATTTGAATTCAACTACAATCTGTGAAGTAGTCAGTACGGTAATCATTACCATGTTATGGGATAGAAACCTAAAAGTCAGAGAAGTTAAGAAATTTGTTCAAGGTTAGCTGAATAGTAGGCAAAGAATAGGGATTTGGGCTAAATTTGCTGACTCCAAATCAAAAATTTTTTTCTTCTACACACCTTCTAATTATGTTAGAGCAAAATATTTTAGAGGTAGACTCGCAAAACCCACTAACATATGGTGACAGCATGTTGCTGGGTCCAGTTTGGAAGCAATTCTGGGTTCTGGATGAGAGATTCCTGAGAAAAATACAGAAAGGTCCTGTGTACTTGCCGGGAAGGGTGTGATGGTACAGGAATTGATTTCACTCAACTCTAATGGCTATCGTTTGGTGACATCAGAGCCACCAAGAGCATTCAGGACATGGTGGGTACATTAGAAAAAGCCAGGTCTTCCTCCAGACTTATGTGTCTCCCGCTCTGCCCTGCCCCTGCAGCCAGCACCACAGGCCTTAGGGAAGGAGTCCCTGCCAGGCGCTACCCTACAAGAGCACCACCTGCCCAAGCACAGCAGTAGGCACTGGCCGGGACCCTGGTTTGCTGCTTTCTAGCCTGTGAAACCACTTACCTTCAGCAGCTCTTGTGATCAGAGTGAGCCTTATGTTCCCCAAGCTCCTTCTTTTTGTGTAAAACCGCCCTTTGTTTAAACAGAAGAAAGCACAGAGGTAGGTGATGTTTCGAACAGGTTTATGATGTCTGCTCTGGAAGTAAACTAGGAAGAAGAAACATTTCAAAATAACGCAGAAGAGTTTTTCCTCCTGTATTGAGTTCTTTTGGTGGCCTAGGACTGAATTCAGAGCTGGGGCTGGAAAAACGATGCATTCTTCAATCTCATCATGTCTGCACTGCAGCCAACCAAGCCAAGGAAATGATGAACCAGGCGACCCTCCTATACTGCTCTCTTGAGAGGTCTCTGGGCGGCTGAGTAGAGACTTGGGGAGATGCTAAAGGAGGAGGACATATGATCTGTCAGCTGTAGGATCACCAGCGGAGATCATCCACACACTGTCAGACAAGGTAATGCTGCTTCCAGCTACCATGACATCTGGTCCAGGAGCTTGTTATCTTTTTGCAACTTCTTTTTCTAGTTAAGGCTGCTTTGGGTGTTTACTTTAACCGAATTTCTTTACATAAAATTAGTGTTGATTTGCTTGGCACCCCAATCCCACTGAAGACACTCTGGCTGTCAGACCTGATTTTCCTTATCCATGTGCCAGCATGCACTCAGTGAATGAACTGGTGGATCCCTGCTGAAGAGCAGGCATTTTACATATTAGATAAACTGGAGACAGCAAGCCAGCTTTAAGAAGGGGAACATTTGGCTATAAAGCCCCAAAGAAAATTGATTACTCACAGATGTAATCATTCAAATCATTGACAGGTTACACATCGGTACTGCAGATGAAGTAATTAGTTCTTTCAATTGAACAACAATAAAACCTTAAGAATTTGTCATCAACAAACTCCTTTGCAGCAAGACTTTGACACTCAAATAGTGACTTTTCATCAATCAATGCTCCATCCTTTCCTACATAGTCCCCCAAAAGAATGCTCTACGATGTTGTTTTTAACTTCCTCACTTCCCATATATTCTATTAAACGGATTTTTTAATATAAAATTAAAAACATACAAAGATGTGGTACTTACCCCCAAGATGTACTGAACAAGTTGCTGTATATACTTCATGATTTGTTTAAAGCAATAAAGTAGTACTGACAGGTGAAATATCCTATACCCTCCTTCATTCTATTCTTTCTTCCTCAGTGGTCACCACTCCCAAGAACTTGATATTTATCATTCTTATATATGTTTTTAAACTCTATATATGGTAGTAACCATAAAGAATATGTAATATTATTTTGTTTTAAAACTTTACATAATGCATCATATTACATGTATCCTACAGCTTGCATTTTTCTTCTAAAGTTATTTGTTAAGTTTTAATCATATCCATAGCTATCACTCCAGTTAATTTATTTTCACAGTTCTGTAGCAGGGATCAGCAAATTTTTTCTTTAAAGGGCCAGACAGCAAATATTATAGGCTTTACAGTCATACGGACTCTGTCACAACTATTCACCTCCACTGTTGGAGTGGGAAAGCAGCCACAGACACCTCAGGAACAGGCATGGTTGTGATTCAATAAAACTTTATTTATAAACACTGAGATTTGAATTTCACGTAATTTTCAAGTCACAAAATATTAAAAAAAAAATTCCAATTATTTTTAAATGTAAAAACCATTCTTAGCTCACAAACCATACAAAACAGGCAGTGGGCCAGTTTGGTCTATGAGCCATAGAGTGCCAACCCCTACTCTATAGCATTCTATTACCATGTTTATTAATCTGTTTCCTTCTTACTGGACATTAATACCAAAATTTCTTCTGTCATCTCATACACGATCATGTGTTTGGCAAATGATTTATTGGGAACTTTTAAAAATGTTTATTCTCTATTCTTAGGGTATGGAATACTATATATCTGAGACAAAGCTTGCTAATTTTGTTCTTCACATCTCCTATATCCTAATGTTTATTTGATCATCATTTTTAATAGAGATGTTTAAAATCTCTCTCTATGATTATAAGAATTCTCCTTATAATTTGATCAGTTTTTGCTTTATGTATTTCAAAGTTATGCAGTCACAGACATACAAATTGATCGCGGTCAGATCTTCATAATGGATTGTTCCTTTTATTAGGAGGGGAGTATTCAAAAATAGCACTCTTGACACTTTTTGCTATTAGTTCAGTTTTACCCAAAATATTAATATTATTATTCTCAGTGATACATATTTCAATATCTTTATTTTTCAAGCTTTGTATGTTGTCTAGTTTTGAGTGTGTCACTTGTAAGCAGTATGACTCTATTTTTTAATCTCGGTAGGTGAGTTTACTCCAGCTTTGGTGTGGTGGTGAACACCGTGGACCAGACCACCTGGGTCCTAATCCTGGCCTTCCACTCATCTCTGTGTGACCCTGTGCAATTTCCTTAATCTCACCACACCTTGGTTTTCTCATCTGTAAAAAAGTTGAGGATAACATTAGTACTTCATCATAGGGTTATTGTAGGGGTTAAATAAGATAAAGTTCTTAGAACAGTGTCTAGTATGTAGTAAGCACTCAGCAATTGTTAACTAAAGTTTTTTTGTTTTATTGTTGACATGTTTGGTCTCATTTATACCATCATTTTGCTTTGTTTTTATCTTTTTCTCTTTCTTTACCATCTCTTTTCCTGTCAATAGCCCCTGTTTATTTCCTCTGTTTTTTGAATGACGTGTACACTGTATTTCTATTATTTAATAATTATACTTAAAAATTTTACTGCTTTATTGAAACATAATTGATATATAATTTGATGAGTTTTGACATATGTACCCACACTGAAGGCATCAAATCAATCAATATAGCTAACCTTTCCATCACCACCATTTTAACTGTGTTATCTTAGATTCTTTGTCTATTTGGCATCCATTAATTACAGGCTACACTAACAGCCAAAGTAGTTTATATCTCCCATGTGACTCAGAGCCCACGCTCTGAGCCACCTTCTTGTCTAACTCTCATACACGAAGCCAATATTTCCCCTGCTCTGGGTCAACCCAGGACCTGGCACCGGACAAGTAGTGACAGCTGACAGCTCCTATCTCTCAAACTGGCTAAAATTATTTAAACTAGCCAAGTTTAAGCTGTTTCCCCTGCCTGCCTTGCCTTTCCCATGGAAACCCCGATAAAAGCTCTTGTCCAGGCTTTCCGCTCCTCTTTTCTGACTCCTGACAAAAACTGGTGCTTCTCCATGTGGCCCTGTGTGGCCTGGCATGCCCCCTTCTCTTGGTAAATGGAAATAATAAATTCTTCTTTCAATGACATTGGCTTCTCTATATCATCACTCCATCACCTCTGTAAATTAAAATCCCTTGGGCACATATTGATACAACCCACAGAAGTCTTCTCATGCTCTCTGGTAATCTCTTTCTTCTTATTCTTCCTCCCCCTACTCCTTAAGCAAACACTGGTCTCTTTTCTGTCAGTATACATTAATTTATATTTTTTAGAATTTGATATAAATAGAGTCATATATTATGTACTCCTTTGTTTGAATGCTTTGATTTAGAAAATTATTTGGAATTCATTCTTGTTGTTGTATATATCAATAATTTATTCCTTTTATCTTGCTGAGTAGTATTCCATTATATAGATATATAACAATTTGTTGATACACTCACTTGTTGATGGACATTTATGTTGTTTCCAGTTTGTAGCTATTATAAAGAGAACTTCTATGGATGTCCATGTACAAGTTTTCGTATGGACATATGCTTTCATTTCTCTTGAGTAAACAACTAGGAGATAAATGACTGTGTTATATTGTGGGTGAATAGTTAACTTTTAAAGAAACTGACAGTTTTCCAAAGTGGTTGTTCCATTTTAGATTCCTACTATCAGGGTGTGAGAGTTCCAGTTGCTCTGAAATCTTCAGCAATATTTAGTATGGTCAGTTGTTTTAAATTTCAGCCATTTTAGTAGTGAGAGTGATATCTTATTATAATCATGTATTGCCTTAGTTGCATCTTTTAAAATAGAAAGCAGTTATTTCTACAGCTAATAACTAAAGGAACTTTAAAAATATTGTATTTGTACTTATTAGTTTTTCTCTCATGTCTTTCCTCAGAGTTCATTTTCCTCCTTGCTGAAATATATCATTTAATAATCCTCTTAATAAAGTTCTGTGGGTGGTAAATTTCCTTAGTCTTTATGTATCTTTATTTTGCTGTCTTCAGTGATAATTTAGCTGGTACTAAGCACTTGGAAGATACTGTCTTCTGCTCTCTATTGTTACTGATAAATCTCCTGTCAGTCTATTGTCATTCTTTGTAGGCTATGTGTCTCTTCTTTCTGGTAGCTTTTAAGAATCTCTCTTTATTTTTCACACTTTGAGGTTTCTCTATGATGTATCTGTATGTGGATTTATCTTTATTTACACTGCTCAGAACATCTAACACTCTTCTGATGGGAGAATTTTCTTTGATTCTGCAAAATTCTCAGTTATTTCTCTTCCAGTGTTGCTTCTCTGCCTATCCCTTCATTTTTTTCTTCTGAAACTCCTATTACACAGATCATGGAGTTGCTAAATCTGTCTTCTATTCCCTTTAATTGGTTTTTAAAATATATTATTTCATTTCTTTCTCTTTTTGTACTGCATTTTGGGTGCATTCGTCAGCATTATGTTTCAATATACTAATTATGTATTTAACTATGTCTAGTTGAGAGTTTATTTGACAAGAGACATTTATATCTCATTTACTTTTTATAAGCCCAACCAAGACTAGTCCATTGCATTTTATATAGAAGTTTGACAATAAATATCTACTGATTAAATAAATATAGAAAACACCTTACATGGTTGATCATTTTATTTCTTGTTCATAGATGTATAACTATTAACCACCCAAATATCACATTTTCATATAAAAATATTTTATATGAAATATATTTTTATATGAAATATATTTTAGTTTTCATACAAAAAGATCCATATAAACAAATTTGCAACTTAAAAAACAACACATTATTATTTTAGACTCTGTCAATAAAAACAGATTTTTATGCAAAGTTACCATGTTTTTGTTGTGGTTTGTCTTTAGGGGTACCCAAGGCTGCTTTTGTCTTTTGGGAAAGCTTGTGGAATCTTCTGGCAGGAGTCTTAGGTTACAAATGTTCAAGACAGCCCTAAATTTTGGATCCCTCTAGTATTTTATAATTTCTACTTTTTTCTGTCATAATTTTATGGTAACCAAATCCTGGTCTAGTACAAAGGTAAGAATGTTCTCTGTTTCGCTTCCAGCGCTCCATTTGCTGGTGATGAGCATTTTGTGTCACACAAAGCAGCACAAGAAAAAGATGGCAGAGTTGGCTTGCAAGCAGCCATCCTTTCTTTAGTGGGAAGACAGACTGAAGAAGTTTTCCCCTTCACTCATCCCAGGTGAATCTCTCCTTCAATTTCTTCCAGCTGTGATCTGAACTGCATTTATTAGCTCAGGATTCACAAAGTACAACAAGGAAAGATGCTAGGATCCTTTAAATATATAAGGATGTTGGGTCGCTTGACACAACCAGTTAAACCAGTAAGATCTCATAAAATGGTTATAGCTGCTGGAGTCCAGTGGTCAGAAGGGCTATAGGCTGATTTGTTTAAGAGCTTCCTAAGGATGAGCCTAACTCTCAACAGTATCGTATCTTCTCTGCAGAGGAGTGGAACATTTATCAATTCTTTAATTGCTGCTTTGACTATTGGTGGGCAACAACTGTTCTCCTCTTTCACGTTCAGATGTCCCTGTCAGGTCGGGAAAAACTTCTATTATGGTTCTGCTTTTCTGGTCATTCCTGCCTTGATCCTTCTGGTGGCTGGCTATGCTCTGAGAAGCCAGATGTGGACCATTTCCAGTGAATACTGCTGCAGCTGTACCCCTCCACACCGGCAAATCAGACCCCTGGAGCGCAAGCTGGCTTGCCTGAGGTTCTTCAGCATCACCGGGAGGGCCCTCGTAGCTCCATTAACGTGGCTGGCGGTGACCCTGCTGACAGGCACCTACTACGAATGTGCAGCAAGCGAATTCGCATCCGTGGACCATTACCCAGTGTTTGACAATGTCAGTGCCAGCAAACGGGAAGAGATCCTAGCTGGGTTTCCATGTTGCAAATCTGCTCCATCTGATGTGATTCTCGTAAGAGATGAGGTTGCTCTTCTGCACAGATACCAGTCACAAGTAAGTTCTTGATTTTTTTTCTCCTATGCTCTCCCATATTAACGACAGTCACTGGACACATTTCACATTCTTGCTGCTTCTCATATTGTCTAATTATGGAACACAAACTAGATGCCATTCATCAAAGTGATTTCTGAAGAATGGCTATAAAAATATAGTTGGGATCTGGGGCCTTGGAGTCAGCAGACCTGGATGGGACTCTTGCTTTGCTATTTATTAACCTGCGAAACCTTAAACAAGTTATATAACTTATCCATGCTTCACTTTTCTCAGCTGTAAAATGGGGATATGAATAGGATTGATATCCCCACCTAGGACTGGAGTGAGTAATAAATGAGCTAATACATCTGAAGTGCTCAGTATTGTGTCCAGAATCCATATTGAAAACAATGAATTTTAGATATTATTATTAAAATTATTACTATATTACTAAATTTCATCTTTCTGCACATATATATTCTTAAATATGCATTCTTATATATTAAAATCTCATCTAACATTAGAGGAAGCTTAATTATGATTAACAATAAACGTCAATAATGGTTTTAAATTTAGTATCCTTGGGAGGTTTGTGTGAGGGGGTGGGGTGAAGTTGCAAGAAGACCTGAACCTACCGCACTTTTGGTTAAATTTAAAAAGTGTGAAAGTGCATTTTTACCAGCAGAGAAAGAGTCATTGGCTTTCATCAGTTTCTCTAAGGGATTCAGGGAAAAACGCTTTTTTAAGCCATGGCAATACAATAAAAACACATTATTTTTTAAACTACTTATTGTAAAGGCATACTTTTTCGGTGCAGAAGATTGGCCCTGAGTTAATATCTGTTGCCAATCTTCCTCTTTTTTCTTGAGGAAGATCGTCCCTGAGCTAATGTCTGTGCCAGTCTTCCTCTATTTTGTATGTGGGATGCTGCCACAGCGTGGCTTCATGAGTGTTGTATAGGTCTGCACCTGGGATCTGAATCCACGAACCCTGGGCTGCCAAAGTGGAGCATGCAAACTTAATCACTATGCCACAGGGCCAGCCCGGCATACACATTTTTTGACCCACCACTTTTCACTTATTAAAATTTAGAAGTGCTAATGCTATTTAGTTGGAGAAAATTACTATCAATACACAGCACACTGAAGTGTTGCATATGGCCTAGTTTAAGCAAAATTGGAAATCCCATTAAGACAGGCTTTGTCTCAACTTTTTTATACTAGCCCTAAAGCTCAGGCAGAGGAGCTATGTGAAGATAGGTGAAAACTCAAATAATCAATGGGGCAATTTTAATTTTAAAAAGTGTTCTTGCTTAAGAAAAACTAAGATCTAATACACATCAGTAAGATTTTCTCAAAGTCAGAATAAAATGTCTTACTTGATGCATACACAGACTTCTGTGAAAAGAGTTTTACTGTTCCGAGTGCCATCAGCCAGTGAGTTTTTTGGTTTAGTGACAACAAACCTAATATTTATTGAGATGTTTATCATATACTGTAAAAATATTTTATATCAACTAAAATCCTCATAATATGAAGAGACAGGTATAATCAACCCCATTTTACAGATAGGGAAACTGAAGCTCAAAGAGTTTATGTAATTTTCATAAGTTCATGGAGCTAATAAATGATTGATCAAGATACTCGAGGATCATGCTGTTTCCGTTTCACCAGGCTGCCTTTTGCAACCATCTCAAACTTCAGTCTCATTTGAGGAATATATATTAGTCTTTTAGTTGATTATTCTGAGTTGGCCACAAGATTACATTAAGTTCAAATCCCTTCTCTGCCCATACCTCATTCTACAATATCTTCCTGACTGGTTCCACCCCATTTTAATCCACCTTCTATACCCATGCCAAAATTATCTTTCTCAATGCAAATTGGATGGGGAACCACCCCCCTCCATATAAAGTCCTTCAGTGATTTTCCCCCAGCCTAAGCACAAATCCAAACTCTTGATATGACATACAAGGGCCTTCAGTAGCTGACCCCGCCCGCTTTTCCGCATAATTCCCATGACTCTGTGAATCCAAACTTCTTGAGATTCTCCCTACTCTTCACACTTTATTTTTCTGCCTTCTTCCCTTATTTGAACTCTCCTCAACTTCTGGCATCTGGTGAACTCCTCTTCAATAATTTAAGTCTGAGCATCATCTCCGCTGGGAATTGTTTCCTGATACTCCTCTGCGTTAAGTGAGTTCATTTCTCTTCCATTGTGCTTCCTTGGGCCCCATGTTTACTCATATCAAAAACTAGCACATTTTACCACATTTCTTGGCTTGCTATTTTGTCTCTTTCTTTAGGTTTAAAGATTGTGGAAAGAATGAACATATCAAATTATTCACACTGAGTTCCCATAACCAAGCATCACTTACAGCACCTGGTGGGAGGTCAACCTAGGGCTCAATAAACGACAGCTGATGATTTAATGGGCACCTGAGATGGCCTTTCCTCTACCATGCTGGCCTCTATTAAGTTAAATCACGATGAGCATCACTTTGTAGCTTTTAACCTCCACAGAGTGCAGCTACCCCAGCAGGCACACGCTGGTAATTCCAGTCCCGTCGGTGAATCACAAGCTGTGGAAGAACCTTGACCTCCCAGACAGTGGCTGCCTACTGCTGACTCTCCAAAATGTGCGGAACTTGTGTCTCTCACTTTACACAACCACCACTAAATATTAAAAACAGAGAATAATGAAAAGGAAAAAAAGGACACTAAGAGTAGACAACAGCCATTTATGTCAACCTTTAAAAGTGGACACTAAATAGTTACAAATAAAATCTAGTTCATATTCCTTTCAGAGCATATTTCAAAAATGAATCATAACACTGGTCAGCAAATGAGTATTTGAAGGAGGAGGGAAATGAAAAGGAAAATAATAAAGTGCTACCCATTTAGGGACATAAAAGTCTGCTCACTTTCTTTTTTGGTCACAAGAAATAAAAGAAAGAGTGACTTAGGAAGAAATATCAATGAATACTTGTTGGCACCTTAGGAAGCCATTGAAAACACCTTAGGAAGCTACCATTATTAGCTATCATATCATCATTCTCATCACCATCATTATCAAATATTTATCAAGTCCCCAAAGACTGCCTGAGCCTGTAGCTGATGGTTGAAAAATAAAGTTGAGCTAAAAGCAAAGAATGTAGCTTATGTACCTTATGCAAGGGTAATTGGTGCGTTATAGCGTCTGCCACTTCAAGGACAGTATTTAGAATCCATTCCAAGTTACCTGGTCAATATCCTTTGTAATCCAAAAACCAAGTTGAAATGGTTGGGCCTCTGCCCTCCATCACACCTATATCCATTTCAAATGTGCCTTGAACAAACAGTGACTTGTTAATACGTTAAAGACTAGAAAAACAAATTTCTTACCCACAGTTTAGTTCTCAGTTTTATAAGAAATCCTTCTTACTATGGCTTCTTACTACAGAATATTTGATGTATTGATGTTTTATGTTTTTCTTTTAAATAATTACGTGAAGATGCTGGGCTGGATTTTGATCACCTTGGCAACTATCGCTGTCCTAGTCTCCTGCTGTTTGGCGAGGTGCTGCTCTCCCCTCACCTCTCTGCAGCATCACTACTGGACCAACCAGCTCCATAACGAGAGGGAGCTCTTTGAACAAGCTGCAGAGCAGCACTCCCGGCTCCTCATCATGCAGCGCATAAAGAAAATATTTGGTTTCATTCCTGGAAAGGAAGATATCAAACACATCCGTATTCCTTCGTGTCAGGACTGGAGGGAGATTTCAGCACCCAGTCTTCTCTGCATGGGTGATGACTTGCAAGGTCATCACTATAGCTTCCTTGGAGACAGGGTGGATGAGGATAATGAGGAAAGCAAATCAAGAGGTATTGAATTACAACCTTGATTATAGTATCTTTCACAATTCAGGTTGCTGAACAGGTACTTTATTTTTGTGATGATGGAATTTCAATGTAACCTGTTCATCTTTTTCTCTCCCTTCTGATACTTGTTTACATAAGTCTAGCCAAAATCAATTGATCTGATAATTGTGCCAACCTCTTTTTGAAATTTCCCTAATGGTCTGGTAATGCCTATGTCGGTCTGAATAAAACAACATGGAATTTGAAGTCATATCAAAATTTGAATCTTGATTCTGTTATTTAGTAGCTGTGTGATAATTAACTTTTTGAGTGTCAGTTTGCTATCTGCACACAGTAGCTACATCACAGAGCTGTTGTGGAGATTACATGTGATAATATAAGCAAAGTGCTAGCATAGTGCCTTTTATAAAGTAAGTGCTGATACATGTTACTTTCTCCCTTTCTCTTTGCATTCCATGTCTTCTATTTCACCTGTCTCTAATTTCTGGTTGTCCTTTTTTCTACCTCTATATAACATCCAGGAATTTTTCACTGCTTCCTCCTCTTTATTCAAGCTTAAATATCTGAACTTTTGGGAATCAGGATACAAAGCCCTTTCTAAACTGGCAGTATGTAAAGGAGAAGCCCATGCAAGACAGTCTTGAGTCATCCTGTCACAACCAGGGGAAGACGATGCATTATTGTATCATCATTAGTATCATGAACGTTACTTGGAGCACCTCCACACCAGGAACATTTGTTTTAGCCATGACGTGTAAAGTTTATTCTAGAAAGTTTCCCCTTGATGCTCCAACACAGAGACACCATCTGTGTCTTTTCATTACCAAATTACACCTTTGCTCTCAAAAATCCATTTGAAAAAGCAAGACTGCACCCTCTGTTTGTCTATCCATTATCTAGAACTCCAAAAGGGGATGCCTGCCTGACTTTTCTCTGCATGACTTTGCACTTCTAATATCTGACAACTTTCTAATTTATCTTGATTATTTCTGATATATGTAGTATTAAGCAACTGGTTCATTGGCCAAAATAAGCAAAATGAGGGCTTTTATTTATTTTCTAAACCCAAACGACGGCTGCTCACTGGGCAATGGACCAACTCCCAATAGTCAGGCTGACTTTCCAGATCTACTTTTAAGAAGACCAGAGAACATGACTGTCTAAAACACAATCAATTACTTGGTAATCTACTTTTATGCATCATAGAAGAAAGAGTCTATTTTGTGTGAAATTATGGATCTTTCAAACATAATAGAAACAAACAGAAAATCAATTTTAAGGAAGCCATTTTTTTTTTTAACCAGTAACAGGTGCATAGAGTAGTACTTTGGTGGGGCAGGAGATCTGTTCCTCCATCACCATTACTTATTGGGCAAGTCAGTCAGTCTCTCTGGGACTCAACTGCTTCATCTATAAAATAGGGATAATGATACCTTTCCTGCTGGAAGGAAAGGAACGGAACCAAATGAATTCTTGAGATCCCTTCTAAATCTCATAAGATTTTTAAGTTCATGTTTATAGGTATACAGGTCAATATGTACAATCTGCTGGAATGGTGGTAGGTCTGGGTTGTGTCTATTGGAAGGAAAATATCACCAAGTTTGATTCTGAGCTTTCTCTAAAGACATTTGCTGGCATTCCGCTTTTAAAAAATGTTAATGTATGGATCTTTTTCAAGTGGCCAAGGAAAGCTATTCCACTTTGTCACCTAACTTTATATACAGTATTGGTATGACATTACCAGAGGGAACTTTAAAAAAATAGAACTAAATTTGGAAAGTAACTAGGGTTCTAGTTTGGTTCTGATATAAATGAGCCATGTAAATATGGAAGGTCACATCCACTTTGTTCTCTATCATCTCTTCCAGCTCAAAAGTTCTATTGCTCTAAGTATCTGAGAATTTTTGAAATTCCTCTGTATTGGGACATCCTAGTTAAATCAACACTTTACACCATGCTCAGAATTATTTTATTAATTTTCTTGGAATATACCAGAGTAAATACTCTTCAATAAGATTTTCAGTTAACAGCAAAATCAAAGAGTATACGAAGTTAAAACATTACATAATCAGAAACAAGATAGTAGTTATTTATACACTAACACCAGGAAACTTTCTTTCCACTAGATTCTGGAAGCCCTTTCTACATAAAACTTTTTCAGAGTATGACATACACAGTTTATATTTTGGACCACTTAATCATGATCTTCCATTATAGCTTTCTAGCAAAGGATTATAAGTATTCTCTGGCTCCTCCACATGGCTTCAAAGGGTTTTACAGCATCTATGTGAACATGTAAAGGGTAGTACACATCCTTGAGATTTCATTGTATATTATCCATTTCAAACTAAATAAATTAAATTCCCAGTCTTTTTTTTCTGTCCAGAGTATTCTTTTGTTCCACAGCCATACAAAACTTTCCCATTAAGAACATGTATTTCCTCCCCTTTATGCTTAATGGATTTATATAATTTTAAAACATACAATTAAAATCAATTATATGCTAATACAACCTTATATTTTGCTACCAAATGCTCTTGGCTACTATATCAAATGCTGTGGCTTGGCATATATACAGACTTTCTCATTTCTTAACTTCAAACTTGTCAGCTGCCACATTCCTCTGCCACAATCTAAGTTGCCTCCTTTCTAGGAGACAAGTACAATCCCAATGTTTGCATGTGTTTTACTCAGTGTTTTTTATGTTTACCAAAGCAGAATTATACTTACACTCATCATCTTCTTGTCTCCTTTCTCTGTTCTCAATCTCCAATTCATTTTTTTAAAATTCTATTTTTTTGATTGTAATAAGAAACAACAATTGTTACTTTATAAAGTGTTTTCTTGCATTCTGTTTGTAGCACAAAGGGAAATCACATTAACCCTAAAACTTTGAAATACGACAGCCAACCAAAGGCCTTCGAAATGCGAGACTAGGTAGCTATTTGCTGCCTCAAATATAAAGTGTAAAGATACAATTTTAGCTTGTAAATAAGTCTGCTAAAATTTAGCACTGGTCACCAAAAAACAGATATAGGCAGGCTATCCTTAAAGCACACAGCTACACAACTAGATCCTTGAGCTGTGGGGCACAAATCTATAAGTGTGAACCCTGGGCCAAAGAGCAATGGTGGTATTTCCAGAGAGGCAAATTACATTATTCCTGACCCGAATTACTCTTCCGTACTAACCACCAGGTACATTCGACTGCTCCAGTCTCAGTACGTCATCAAGGAATGGATTTCAAGTTTCCTCTGCTGCCCCCCAGTGGTCAAGATAGGTGTCTACACCAATCTGTAGTGGTGACAGTATCAGTAGAAGTAAAAATAATATGTACTGTGCACTATATGCATGTACTTTAAACAAATTATCCCATTTACTCACTACAAAAAACCTGATAAACAGAGTCACATATTATAAAATGACTTGCTGAAATGACATTAAACAGCATAGACAATGTGAAGGACTTTTTTGCAGTGTGAAGTCCTGTACAAATGAAATGCTTTCTCAATGATTTAATTATTTTATTAGATAACTGGTGAATCATGGGTCATAATTGGAATCCAGGCCTATCTGACTCCAATAAGATAGTTCCTCCATTCTACTGATGAGGAAGCTGAGATACAGAGAAATCAAGCAATTTGCCAGAAGTCACATACCTATAAGTGATAGAGCCAGAATCCAGCTCAGAAGTCTGCCTTTTGACCCTGCACTCCACAGCACCATGTGGACTACAGCAACGGGAGGCAGCTTATCCACCTTCCAGGGCCCTGTAGGTGTTAGGAGGATTTCCCTCCTATTCCTGTTGATAAATAACTAAAACATCCTGAGCTCCAACAGTAAGGTGCCATATCACAGCTGAGCCCCCTCTTTGCACTTCCACTGCACCGGCATATAGAAGGGCATCCCCTTCAAGGCACTGTGCTTCTTAGAAAAGTGACTTGTCCACTCTCACTGGGGCATGACTTTGGACCTGAGCTACCCAATAGCCAGTGGCACTGATTCTATGAGCCACAGTCTAGCTGCAAGCTTACCCAGGAGTGTCAGGTGTTCTTTCTCTTACGCAGGGAATGGACACAACACCGCTATAACTGGTCGATTTGTTTCCAGTAGACCATAGGTACAAAGAGTGAAAATGAAGGTCAGGAAAACATGGTCTTTCGTTAGTCATATGGTCCTGTACAAGTCAACGTCTCTGGGACTTTATTGTTCCCTTATAGAAGACAGGAGAGGGTGATAAAATTGTGGGAGTGAGTGATTAAACTATTTTAAGTCACAGAGCCCCTTGAAAAGCCATTCTGGGGAAAGCTATTTTGAGGAAATATCCAGAAAAACTGTGCGTACACACAGACACAGGCTCACATATCTCAGAGTTTACACACTGTGGAAAGCTGAATAATGGCCTCCCCAAGGATGCTCTTCACTAATCACTGGAACTTGTCAGTTTTACTTTATACCTTATATGGCAAAAGAAACTTTGCAAATGTGATCAAGCTAAGGATCTTGAGACGGGAGGATTATCCCAGATTATCCAGGTGGACCGGATGTAATCACAAGGGTCTTTATAAGAGAGTTGCAGGAGGAAGCAGAGTCAGAGAAAAGGTAAAGTGGCAATGGAAGAGAGTGTCAAAGAGTGTCAGAGTGATGCCTGAGAAGTTAGCCTTCGCCCGCTTTGGAGATGGAGGGGTTCATAAGCCAAGGAACGCAGGCAGCTTCTAGAAGTTGGAAAGGGCAAGGAAATGGATTCTCCTCAAGAGCCTATGGAAGGAACACAGTCCTGATGACATGATGACACCTTGACTCTAGCCCACTGAGACTTATGTCTCACATGTCAGAACAGTAAGAAATATATACTTTTCTTATAGTTACAGAACTATAAGATAGTAAACTTGCATTGTTTTAAGCCACTAAATTTGTGGTAGTTTGTTACTGTGGTAACAGGAAACTAATACACAAACCAACACATTTCAGGACTTCATGCACCCACAAGCCTGTCATGAATGACATCCCCTGGATTAAGACCTCTTCAAGGTAATTTCTAGCACAAGCATCCTAAGATTCTGTATGCGCTGCTGCTCTGCCATAGGTGACACTGTTGCTCCTGAAAAATAAATAACTATATCTATAATATTTTATAAATATACAAAATACAATGTGTTCTAATATTTAAGGTGTTCTAAATACAGAAAGAACAGCTGAATATACATTTTATATGTATTTGTAAATGTTTCAGCCTAAACTGCAAATAAAAAATTTTAAAATATATTTTCCTTCTGTAGTTGTGTTAGTGACATCAACAGAACAATGTACTGTAAACTATTTCATAACGTGGACATATTTCAGCATTTGAAATGCGGAAAAACAAAAGCCAAAGGAAAAAAAAAACTAATCTGGATCGATGTGGTGCTTTTGTGATTATATAAATTTTATAAATCAAGAGTAATTGGCTTATGATTTAGTTTATACCTGCCATTCTTTCACTTTGAGACAACCAGAATTTTAGAAAGCTGCCTACAAAATAAGTACCTTTACTCCAATAATGATTTAATAGATCCTCTGAGGTCCTGTGAGAAAGGTCTATATTTTGTGGAATACATAAAGCTAAAACGAAAAAATGTCCAGGTTATAAGAGGCAGAGCTAGAATAATATAATTTAGTATGCAATTCAGTACTGCCTGCCATCAGGGTGCAGGCGCTTTGAGCTCATCCTCGGAAATGTTCTGGGACCCACCTGTCTGGGGCGCCCTGAGCCGGACCCAGCAGCGTGGACCTTTATCCGAGCGCTCTCGACCCTGTTCCCTGAGCGTGGCGAGCCCGGGGTGTTCCGAGCAGAAATGCCATTTCCCGTCGCCAGCACCCAAGCCGGCGGGGTGGGCAGGTCCTCTAGTCAGCGTCCGCACCGCCGGCTCCCGGGCGGCCACGGTGCAGGCGGCGCGCCTCTGATCCGGCAGTGCGCTGGGGCGGCGCGTCAAGTTCTCCGAGGCTCACAGCTGGCCCTTCCAATAGCTGTCCTCTGTGGTCTCTGATGGTGGTGCCCCGTACCCCCCCAGGTTGGTCAAGCGCATTCCATGCACAAGAGGCAGACCGAACGTCTAGCTCCGCCCACAGGCATCTATCTCCCACCTGGTGGCCATGTAAGGAAAGTAGAAAGAAATCCTATTCTGGGGATGCAGTGATTATGGCCTAAAAAAATCCAGAAAATACATTGTTGGAAGACGTGTTGTAAATTTAACATGACTAGGAAACAAATGATCATTCACATTTCCTGCAAACTTTGGGTAAGACTTGAATGCGTGGACATTATCGAGAGGGCGCGTTCTTCGAGAAAATCATTGGGAGCAGTATTCAGGAGTAGCATGATGGACGATGGAGCTTAAGGAGTAGCGATGTGACCAGCTTTACTTAAATGGTATTAGGATATTGCAGAAGTAAGAAGAGCTATAATGTTACAAAAGAAATTACAAAGAGCCATGGCGTTGCAGTAGTAACAGCACTGCTCCCTTTTTTATGCATCACTGTGGGAGATAAGAAATTAGACAGGAACAGTGAATTTGACAACAAATAACACAAATAGGTGGTTCTTCAACCTGCACAGGAAGAGAGGCTGCATGGACACTCAGGAGAATCTTCAGGCACACTGATTAAACAATAAACAAATGCATAAGTGCCTTCTTTATTCTTCTAAATCTTCATCAGTAAATCAATGTATCTTAGGTGAGCCCATAAATTTTTAAAATATATCTTTTAATAAAATTGCTCAGATAGACAGGATCCCCACAAAAACTGTTTGCGCAGGACTGCATACCCTTAGAGGCATCCCTGACTCGACCCTTCACTATATTTTCTCTCAGGAGGCCAAAAAAGTGATTTGACTTAAATTTTACTATTCCATTTTAACTCTCCAGTTCATTTTCCTTTTTCCTCCTATACATTTTAAGTAATTCATATTGCGTTTCACTAACCCTACCTTCTTCCATACCTTTTTTGCGCTTTCGTTTCTCTCTTCCTTTTCCACCTAGTCTCTTTCAAATCCAAAGCAAAGGTGCTTGTGCGTGTGTGTGTGTGTGAGAGAGAGAGAGAGAGAGAGAAAGAGAGCAAGACAGGGAGAGAGAGAGGGGTGGGGAGGAGGAAGAGAAAGGAAAAGTCAAAGAGAAGATCAAAATGATCAAAATGGTCATTGCTAGGGGTGGAAGAAAAGGAATGTGTACAAATGCTACTTTTTGTCTGCTCACCTTAGACTTTGTCCTTACATGCAAGGTAATTGGAAGTGTAGCCTGCTGAAAACTCATGTTGTCCCAACTTTGTTGTTCTCCAGAACTGAGGCCTCATCTTTTTATATGGTTCAAGAACATTAGCATCAAGGTTGTTAGGACAGTAACAACTCCACCCACAGATACCACTCTTCTGGCATGACACCTTGGGTCAGAGATGTTAACTGCTAGCTTTGAAGTCTGGTTCTACACAACTCTCTCCACAATAAGCATGATCTTGAGGAATCATAGACTTTTACATCTGGAAAGCATCTTGAAGATCATTCTGCCCAACTTCCTCATTTTTTAGATGGGGAAGCTGAGACCCAGAAAGGGTGTGTCATGTCCAAATACATATGGCAAATCAATTATAAAGAAATGCTATAAACTAGTCTTAGAATGCCCTGCTCCAGTGCTTTTAGAACCACATCATGTCACCACTCCATTGGATTCATTCACTCACTCTGAAAATATATAATTTGAGTGCCTACTCTGTCAGGCACTGCCCTATGTGCCAACATACAACAGTAAATAAAATCTCTGCCCTTGTGGAACTTACTTTCTAGTAGGGAGCAGAAAGAAAATAAACATAATAAATAAATCTGGTGTAATTTTAAACTGCCATGGGAAAAATCAATAGGGTAAAGGGTATAGGTAGAACAGAGAAGGGAGTGGTTGTAATTTTAAGTAGGGTGATTGAGGTAGCCTCACTGAAAAAGTGACATTTGAGGAAGGACTTGAAGGAGGTGAGGGAGCAAGCCACGTGGGCACAGGAGGAAAAGCATCCCAGGCAGAGTCAACAGCAAGTGCAGACTTTAGGAGAACCTACCTTGCATGTTTGAGGCACAGCAAGGCGGCTAGTGTGGCTGGAGCAGAGAATAGGAGGCAGAGTAACAGCAGACAAGGTCAGAGAGGTAACAAGAGCTGCAGGTAAGGGTCAGGGAGTCAGATTCTATAAGGCCTACACTGCAAAGACAGGGGCCTTTAATCTGAGATGGCGGGCAGTTATGAGCAAAGGACTGATGAATTTACATTGTAGCAGGATCACTGGCTGCCGTGCTGCGTCAGAGTAGACTGTAGGAGATAAGGAGGGAAGCAGGGATGTCAGTCAGACCAGAAGTGATACTGGGATTCACTATCTTTCAAGAGGACTCCTTAGAGTCTAAGAATTAGAATTCTAAATGACTGTTTGCATTTGTGACTGGTGACAAGCCTTTGAGACACCTGACAAAACAAACATTAGCCCCAAGAACTGTTTGAGAACTAAGATTAACCTTTAAATAGATAATTCTCAATTCCTCACTTCTGAGACTAGTGAGATTGCCAGAAAACTCACAAGGCACAGAAAAGTAAAAATAAACATCAAAACAATTTTTAAAGAGTGACAGTATTGGGAAATAGCAACCGTGAGTTTGCATTACCTGCAGAAGAAACTTAGATGAATACAAACAAGATGAATCTCTTAGGGACATTTTTCTTTAGCAATAAAGATGAGCAGAGAACAGCAACAGAAAACATACGTGCTTCAGAGGATTTACCAACTTTCTTGCCAAACTCATTGCCTTCCTTACCTGTCATTTTGTTCAAGAGCTTCATCATTCCAGTTGTTCTAGCCCCAAATCATCCTTGACTCCTCTCTTACAATGGACACCAAATCCTGACAGCCCTACCTTCAAAGTATATCCAGAATTTGATCACTGCCTCATTACTTTCACTCCTACAGCTCTGGTCATCATCATTGTCTTTTGCTTAGATTACTGCCATAGCCTCCTAACTGGTCTCCATACTTTCATAATTTGTCCCCCTTACATATATTTACTCAGTTGCCAGAGTGGTCTTCCTAATGTAATAGCGTCAGATTGTCACTCTTCCATCTAAACCGTCCAGCGATCCTACATGAACTGCAAACTCCCCTCCACCCGGCAACCAGTTCACTGTGCCCTGGCCACAGTGGCTTCCAAAATACCAAGTGGGCTCTCATTCTTTGGACCTTTGCACTGGCTGTTCCCTCTGCTCAGAAGCTTTGTGGCCTCCCCGATAACAAATCACTGATTTATTTGAACTGAGGATACCCAGAAAAATAAGCACCTTATATTTCCAAATCTACTTCATGTATTTTGATTCTATCGTCAGGAGAGCAGCCACTTTTTTCCTGAAAGTTTAAAAGAATGCCCCAAAGCAACTTTTAATACTTAAGACCTGGAGTCAGTAGGAAAGTGTACCCGAATATGTTTATTTTAATGTACTCCTCTGCTCTCAGTAAGCAATACTTCCCAATAAAAAAGTCAAGATGCGTTCCAGTCCACAGGACATCATCAATTTTAACAAGAGAAAATTTCAGAGCCTTTGCCACTAGGCAGCTTCTTATTTAAACACTGTTTCCTTCACTACACAAGTGAAACCAGCTTTAATACAGAAAACAAAGGAAAATACGAAAACTGTGAAAATTTTTTAATATGTTGAGGTATCTTCTTACATTTTTGACGATTTGTTTTTGATTTAACTCAACCATGTTCTTTTATTATAAACATAGATAGTTCTTTAGTATTCTTATAAAAGTTGCCATGCTTATCTAGCCATTTTCTTAGCTTTTGCTATTATGGTTCCTCGAAAATTTTCTTTTTTAACTGCTGCCATGAACTTGGAGATGACAGATGTACATATTTCAAGTATTACTGCCTTAGTTTTATTCTCCCAAATCAACCGTTCTGAACATTTTTCGGAGTACTGATACTTTTACAACGATTATCAAAACTGTTACTGAAACCTACATCCCCTTCATCAATTCACAGAAACACGCAGTCACAGCCACCTTTAGATCTACGTCCCAGCCGCGTTCACTGTACAAATTCAAAAGTGAAGCCTAGAGAGCTGAATCGAGAAGCCCCATCTCCGCACTTCCAGTCGATTTCTCCCCGGGATGCACTCCGACTGGCTATTCAGCAGTTGGCCGACCCTTCGGACCCGCTGACGAACGAGCAGAGCTTCTGCTCCTCTGCCCACTGGACTCCACGCTGGTCTCGGACCCCCGTCCAACTCCCGCGGGACGCCAAGGAACGTGGAGATTCGAGGTGTAGAAATCACCTGGAGCCCACCATCAGCCGACACTAACACGACCGTCTGTCCTCACAGCCGGGACCACAAGGTCGGAAACCGGAAACGACGAAGTTCGCCGACGCCCCCCGCGTCCGGCCACCAGCTACACCGTCCCGCCCCGGCACGCGAGGCAGGTCTTCAGCCCAGACACATCGAGCGTGGATGCCGCGCTGAGGGGCTTCTCAGGCCCTGCAAAGCCCTAGAACCGGCTCTAGGTGTCCGTGGCGAATGCCAGACAGGACTCTGTCACTATCCCAGCAAATCCCGAGCGGGCGTGGGACAGGCGGCTACTCAGTGCCCCTCGGCCAGGCCCAACGAGTCGAACGCGGAACTAGGGAGCAGGCGGAGGCCGGCGAGGGGTGATTGCTCAGCAGGCCCGGCCTGGCTTTGGGCCCCGGGCCTCGCAGCCGGTGACTCTGCGCCTGCGCCCGCCCCGCCGCTGCCCGCTCTCCAGGCGCGGCCGCGGTCCCGGCTGCAGCACGCCGCGGGGTGTCTGCGTGATCCATGGGCAGCGGCGAGGGTCACGATGACAGATTACGGTGAGGAGCAGCGCAACGAGCTGGAGGCTCTGGAGTCCATCTACCCTGACTCCTTCACAGGTGACTTCTGCGGCCGCAGGCCCGCAGCTACCCTGGGGTGGAGTGGGATCGGCCGGAGCCGCCTCGGCTCTCGGCATTCCGGGCTGGGATGGAGAAGGGGACAGCAAGGCCGCGTGGCCACCTTGCCCTCCACTTTCTCCTCCAGTTCTTCTCCCAAATGGTGAGGCACTTACCTGTAAGTCCGAGGCTGTTTCCCCTTCTCCTCTGTTCTCTAACCTCCTAAAGTCTGGTCGAGGCTGGCGAGGTCCCTGGAGAGTGTCAGGCCTAGAATTCAGTCGGGGGCACTTTGGTTTCTGTGTCACTTACAGCAACCCGAGGTTTAGTGAAATACACGAAAACAGATACTCCGAGTGAGAGTAGTCTTTCCAGAGTCGCAAAGGTGTCAGTTTTCACATTTTTACCTTTATTCAGATAGAAGCTGATTTTCGTACGATGACGTTTTAAAGTTTGTGGGATTCAGAGTGCTGTTCTCAAAGTACCCCAGAGTCAGTTTTGAGAGGAGTATTGTCCCTGAAGTTTGTCGCGTTTTTTTCCGTTTTCCTTCTTTGTTTTTTATATTCTGGCATTCTGCAGAATGCCCAATAAACGGTGTGGCCCAAATTTCAGTTCCCTTGGACATTCGCAGGTTCTTAAATTAGAAGGGATATTAGACATCATCTATTCTAGCCTCCCCTTGCTCCCAAGCAAGGTAATGGAGGCTCAGGAAGGGTGAGTGGCTTGCTCTGAGTGGACCAGCAAGGTAGTAGCCGGATTCCAAGAGTTAAGTCTGGACCTCTTTCCTGTTCCTTTACCTTCCAGACATGTGGGACTTGAGACCTAGCTCCTGCTGGGATGAGGGGGAGCAGAAGATTACTTGGTAGGTTGGGCTAATATAAAATATTTTTGAGAAGTTCGTTAGGTATATTTTAAAGGAAGAGAATTCTATATTAAGCTGTGCTTCTGATGATTCTGAAAATGCTGCAAGATAACCATATCGGTATGGCTTCTCTCACATTACACTCAGTTTTTGAGAAGTGATCAAATAGAGCCTCTGAGCGCGTAGATTTGTGGGGTTTACATTCCCCATCCCTTACTTTGAGTAGTGTTCATCATTGATTGTTAGAATTCAGAGTGTAAGGAAGGTTATTTTAACTTGCAAACTCCAATCTCTCTCCCTTTCATGGTTCAGCTTAGTTTTCTTAGCTCCACCTTTTGATCACTGCTTGCAATGGTAGCAAATTTTGTTCTGCTTTGCCAACAGGCAGATGTCTCTCAGCTATCCCTGTATAGCTCCAGTCCTGTTCATGTTCTCTCTCACCAGCAGTACGGCTGTGCTGTGAGGATGTTAAGGGGATGAGTGAAGAGGGGTTTGAGAGTGTCGTTAACTGGGTGAGTGTGTATGGAGTCTGGCTCCCTTCTCTATCCTTGTTTGTATGTCAATATCTAAATAAAATAAAATATAGGGTCAGTTTTTGGTTATATTCTTATGACGTTTGGTCATTTCTAGTACATTACAAATGTAACAGGCATGAACACTGTGTAGGCGGAGTTAAGAAAGCATAAGATGTGTTATTCTTTTCATTTCTTTGGACATAAAGTATCCGTCATTAAGTACTGTGCATATAAGCCTTTATAAAAGTGATACATTTTTTTAACCCTCAAACAATTGTGTGGTTCTTTCAAATCGTGCTAGGCTCTGATGTAAGTCACTATGTGAAATTCTTGTCAGATGCAAAAGGGCTTGAGGATTCTGAGCCAGGGTAATAAAGATAATTTATGAATCTTTGATGCATTCAAGTATTCAGCACTATCAGCTGAGCCCAACTGTGTCTAATTCCTATCACCATTCCTATGTGCTTTGCAATAAATATATTAAAATGAGATGTCTTGATTTATTGTTCTTCAGGAACTTTGCCTTACTCATGATCATGTTCTTTATGAAACCTCTCAGGGAAAAGGCAGAGGACTTTGGAATAAAATGTTTCTGTGTTTGATCTTTTGAAATCTTGAGGATTTGCAGAGTTTACTGTTTTGTAGCCTTCTTTTGTGTTGATGATTTCATACTTCATATTTTTGTGCTAGGTTTAAGAAAGAGCTTGTTTGTGTCACTTTGTGGAGGAACACTAATTGGTAGTTTTCCAACTTGACTTTGAATCACATTTAATATTAGATTTAGTAAATACTCAATGCTGTTGATGGAGGAGGTGGATATACTTTTTTTTAATAGATGGTCAAGTGCTTGACGGAGAAGCCTGTGTTCAACACATCACGACCCCCCTTGTGGATGCTGAAGAGGCACCATCCAGCCAGCCCATTCTCCTAGCCGCATAGACTTAGTCTAACTTCAGAATTGATTGCTTGACTATCTGCAAAGAACTTTTGGTCCACTGTTGCATTTCTTGTGAATTATAACAAATCATAATTTGTTTCTTCTTTTTTGCCTATTCTGTAGCTTGATAGCACACTGATCCAATCCTCCTAACAAGTAGTCTTCCGAAATATAAGCAGACTCTTCTGATACCGCGTTCTCCTTCCGTAGTGCTTCACTTAACGAGGTCCTGCTAAGTAGTAGAATTTGGTTATTTGCATTTCTGTATCCAAATCTCTGACTGTGTGCGCTCTTTTTGGAACAAATTGGTTGGCTTCAGGCTAACCAAAAGTTAAGTTCTTAGTTCTGTTTGGTCTTATACAGAGGTGTCCGTAATCCTGTATGTGCTTGCGTCAGTACCTCTAAGTAGCAGCCATGAGCATTTAACAGTTAGAATTGCATCTTAGAGATGGGGCAGAAGTCATCTTGTGAAAGGAGCTTTTCTAAGACAGACACTCCCTAAGAACCAGAGGGACTTATTTTAATGTGAGCTGTCTGGTTCTTTGTGAAAACCTTAATATCATTTATGTGTCCCTTTAGTGTAACTTTCTCCTACTACCTCCATTATCTCTCTTCTTGACAAACTCCTTAATTCTGTCCAGTTTACCATCATCCGCCCCTATATCACCTCATACTTCTGCCCCTCCACTAGTTCCTTTCCTATGCCCAACAATCTGACTCTTTTTCTCAAAAGTATTTTGATCCACTCACAATGTTGGAAATCTGGTGTCTTTACTGAAGGCTTCTCTTTCCTCTGCTTACCCCAGCTCACAGTAATGCTTTGCAGTGGCATTATTCCTTCATCACAACTCAGGAATTGTTCATCTTTGCAAATCCAGTTAAGTAACTTTTCCATCCGTAGTTTTCAGTCTTCTCCAAGCTTTGCAATGTTATCTCCCTTTCCATAGTTTTTCTTTTTTTTTGGATTACGTTCAGCTATGACAGAAACCCCCGAATAACAGTGGTTTTAAAAAGATAAAAGTTTATTACTCTTGCACATAAAAGATAGTTGTGTAGCTCTAGTTCAAGAATTCCTCAGGGACCTAGGCTTTTTTTTAGTTCTCTGTCATTCCTAAGAGGTCGTCTCACCCTCATGGTCAAGTGGGTGGTATTCCTTTTCCAAGTGGTAGGGTAGATAAAGGAATGAAGGAAAAAAAGAAGTGAAAGATAGCTGTTTCTTCAGGAAATTTCCTGGAAACTGTGAAAGGACTTATTTGCTTCCATCTCATCAGATGGAACTTAGTCACTGGGAGAGACCTAGTTAGAAGGGACGCTGGGAAATGTAGTCTTCATTCTGGGTGGTCAGTATGCTCAGTTGAAACTGGTATAACTGGAAGAAGGGAGGAGTGGACATTGGGGGATATTAGCAGTGTTCTCTGATATCTTTTTTTTTCTTGTACCTGGTTCATAGTTTTTTCTCTGTAATGGCAGCCTGGTGTGGTGGGTGTTAGCTATGTGACCTTGGAGAAATCATATAAACTTTCCAAGCCTCAATTTCCATGTCTGTTTGAGGAATAATGTAAGTGTAAATACTTTAGAACTGTTAAACAAATATAAGATACTCTTTCATAGAAATTTGCCAGCTTAGTTGCTGATTCTTCTAATTATATGGCTACATGACTCTTCTTTATCAACAGTTTTGATTTCCATTTCCTTCAAGTGCATGGGGCCTAGCTATATCTTGGGAATGCCATCTTTAAAATTTTGGTCTATGACATTCTTCTTTCTGTCTCTGAACTTTGCAGCCCTGCAGTGTTTTCATTCCCATGCTTACTAAACACGCCTCTCATGATTGCTCATAGATTGATAGTTTATCAACTTCTTTCTTGTCCATCTTGCCTCCCTATTCTATCTGGCTCCCAAGGTCAGGCCGTTCAGTGGTGTTCTTGCTAGCATCCCCGTGTCCTCTTTTACCAAATAGTTCCTCATTTACCAAATATTTACTGTATGCATCGTTAGAAGCTCAGTCTGTGGGGAAAAAACACCAAATGAGTAATTTACAACACAGTGTGATGATTCTTTCATGGTTTGTATAGGATACAGCCAGAGCATAGGGGGAGGGGAGGGTCTGAGTCGTTTTGGAGGACTGAGGGGTGATGAGAAGTTAACAAATGAATGAAACCAGGGGAAGGGGCACAGTATGTGCAGAAGCATGACTCTGTGAGGGAGCAAAATGTTTTCAAAAGACAAGTGGCTAGGTATTCCTAGAAAATAAAATGAGAACTGAGAGTTATGGGAAATGAGACCTGACAAATAAGCAGAGACCAGATGACAAAGGGCCTTGTTGGAGATTTAGATATGATCTTATGGGCCAACGGTTCATCACCCATTTACCCCCCACATAGCTACACAGACATGTACCCTGCACCTTTAGACACTGCCACGTCAGACCTGGATCTCGATACTTGGGGTGGCTTCACAATAATATAGGCTTCTCTTGAGTTTGTTGTTACCTTTCATGGCTGCTGCTTTTCTTTTAATCTCTGGCACTTTTTCCTTCTCTTACTTTTTTTCCCCAAAGCTTAAGATTCCTTTCAGAGCTGGTGTCGGCCCTTATTTCTCTCTCTGGTGATCTCATTTACTCTAATGACTTTAGCTCTCACCTCTCTGTGGATGATCCCAAATTCAGTTCAAGCCCACCTGTTTTTAACCTCCACTTGCCCATGTCTGATTGCATGCTCATTACTTCCAACCAAAAGTACTGTGTGTCCTTCAAATATATCATATCTGATTTTTCTTTTGTATTTCTTGTTTTTGTTAGTGGCACCACCATCCTCTGCCTGCAAATTCAGAACGTCATCTATCACTGTCTTAGATTCCTCCCTGTTCTCTGCTATTCCCATAGCTGCCAACCTAGTTCAGAACCTCATTAACTTTGCTGCGACGATTTCAGCAGCTGTCTAGTTTCATCCTGCCTCTGCTCTTGTTTGTGTCCTTCTGTTTTATGCATTCTTGCTAGATTTATCTTCCTATGTTTAAAAATAAAATTCTCACCATACTGCTGCTGCTAAAGAAACTTTCACTGTCCACAACTAAACTTCTAATTGTATTTTCAACTAGTTTTCTTCACCCACACATACGCCTGCCAAGTGGAATAATTTCTGATTCCCTGTATATTCCTTAAGCTCTCCCACCATTATGCCCTTACTGCCCTGTCCCTGTCACCTACGTTCTGTTTCTCCCTCTCTCCTTACCAATACACCTTCATTCACAGCCTAGCTCAAATGACTTCCCTGGAATTTCTCTACTGGAAAACAATTTTTCATTTTTCTTTTTCGAGGAAGGTTAACCCTGAGCCAACATCTGCTGCTAATCCTCCTCTTTTTGCCCAGGAAGATTGGCCCTGAGCTAACATCCGTGCCTATCTTCCTCTACTTTATATGAGGGGTGCTGCCACAGCGTGGCTTGACAGGTGGTGCGTAAGTCCTCACCCGGGATCTGAACCGGCGAACCCCAGGCCACCAAAGCAGAACGTGCGAACTTAACTGCTGAGCCACCAGGCTGGCCCCACAATTTTTCTTTTTGAAAGAAACTTTATACAGTTTATTCAGTTCCTCCAGTTACTAGCTGTATAACCTTGGGCACATTATTTCAAAGCTCTTTTATCTCAGTTTCTATATCTATAAAATTGGGATAGTACTATATTTAATTGATTCTAAGGCATAGTTTTACATTTTAGCATCTCTGAAATATGAATTTGTCTTACAGTCAATTACTTATCATAGTTTAATTGGCAGCTTCTTTTTTCTTTCTTAGTGGCGCATAAAGTAGGGTACATCTCATACTTGATGGCATCTTAAATTGGGTAAAATATGGTAATAGTATAAAATCGTGGTCTTGGTGTGAAAATTAAAGGACCTTCATGTAAATGCGTAGCACAACACAGGCATAAAGTAATGCTCAATAAATGTAAGCTGTTGTTATTAAGTATTGACGACCCCTAACTTACAGCCTCACGGAGTCCTAGAAAATGGTCATAAGTTGGAATGTCATTAGGTTGAACCTTTATTTCTATAGTTGCAGTGTTTACATTTCGTGACATGTAAATGCTAAAGTTGGTCATGAAATAGGAACGAAATACATCACATATATTTTATACACATTTCTTTAAAAAAAGATAAGGCCAATCATATTATAAAAGCTTTATTATAATTACCTTTCAGGGACGTTTTCAGCATGGACTGGACTTCCTGAGGCCTGTTAAAATATGAATCCAGTGTCCAGTGACTCTTATCCTCCTGACAAACCCCTTCCTAGTAATCATGGATATTCATCATTGCTTCACGTGCTTTCAGGCATCAGTTAAAATGAAGGCATGTGTCTCGAAAATTTTATTGATAATGAATATTTGATGAAGGCCTCAGAAGTTCTTGAGTAGGGGAAGCTGAGTAGTCTCCGTGGTGACTCCTTCAGAGATCCCCTTGCTGTTTCATTTCAGAAAGAGGCTGCTAAGCTGCTGCGAGCCTCCCAGGAGCCGCTGCCTCCCTGGCCGGAGTGCGGCACCAGCTTTTCTTGTGTTCGGTAGCAGTCACAGGTGGCTCAAATGGTTTTGTTTATTTGTTTACTTTTCTGATGGTTCTGAATACAACTTTTCTTTGTTTTCATTTTTCTTCTTTCATTCCATTAGTTTAGTTCTTTCATCGAGCCAGAATTTGTTGAGTTTCGAGATGCTGCCAGGCCCCAGTCTAGGCGCTCTCACAAAGTTTCATGGCATTCTTGTGGAAGAATAGACAGTAAGCAGGTATCTAGCATCCGGTAGACGTCAGGCTGTAAGAAGGTATATGATGCTTTCTATTTATATAACTGTTGATTTGTGTGTCTGGGGTAACAAATTGTAAGCAATTTGATGTTTGAATTCATGACTAATTTTGTAATTCCGTGAAAGATGATAGAGGGTCAATAGTTTGTGAAAGAATAAGGTTCGGTTCTAGGGATGATGTGGGAGGAAGAGATAGCTAGAAGACAAACTCTAACAAATTAATATTTACTGTTTGTTTGTCATGGAGATTGAGTTATACTTCGGAATATCTAAGTATAAAAATTGGTGATGAGACTGAATATCATTGGGTAGTTTCTGATGAGAAATGTCAAAGTTTTTTTTTGCTGTTCCATTTGGGAATTTTTTAGGATGTAATTTTCCATGTATAGGTGGACATTTTGAATTAAAAGGTAAATTACTTAATGTTTTAATTGATTTGATAAAACTCCAAGAGGGTATCTGCTATATGTATTTCTTTCCAGATTGCGGACAACATTAGAATTAAATAGAAAACTGATGGACGTTTTATCATTTGAATCTTGTGTTCAGTCTGTATTTGTGAAAATGGAAATACAGTCTAGGGATCACTTTCTGGGACTGAATAGTGGTATTTTGCTAATAAGGAAAAGCATCTGCCTTAGGAAGCATCTTAATAACTTAACCTCTGTGGATATTTTCTTGCAGTATTATCAGAAAATCCACCCAGCTTTACCATTACTGTGACCTCTGAGGCTGGAGAAAATGATGAAAGTAAGTCTGGGCAAAAGTGCTTGTAGTTTTTCTAAGCTTCTCTCTTAGGAATTTTACTCACTGTGCTAGGCATTGCAGATATGGAGGTGCTAAGGTGCTGTTAAAAATCTAGTATACTAGACATACTCACATAGTGCTGGTGGGAGTGTAAACTGGTGCAGCCACTATGGAAAACAGTATGGAGATTCCTCAAAAAATTAATAATGGATCTACCATATGATCCAGCTATTCCACTGCTCGGCATTTATCCAAAGAACATGAAAACACAAATGTGTAAAGATGTATGCACCCCTACATTCATTGCAGCATTATTCACAGTAGCCAAGACTTGGAAGCAACCTAGATGCCCATCAAAGGACAAATGGATAAAGAAGATGTGGTATATATACACAATGGAATACTATTCAGCCATAAAAAGGGATGAAATCTGGCCATTTGTGACAACATGGATGGACCTTGAGGGTATTATGCTAAGCGAAATAGGTCAGAGGGAGAAAGTCAAATAGTGTATGATCTCACTCATAGGTAGAAGATAAAAACAAGGACAAACAATCACAGAGAGACAAAGATTGGATTGGTGGTTACCAAAGGGCAATGAGGGAGGGAGGAGGACGAAAGGGGTGATTAAGCACATGTCTACGGGGATGGATTGTAATTAGTCTTTGAGTGGTGAACATGATGTAATCTTCACACAAATCAAAATATGATGTACAGGTGACATTTATATAATGTTATAAACCAGTGTTACCTCAATGAAAAAAGAAAGAAATTCTCTTTTAATTGATGCGAGGAAAACTTCTGAGAGCGTATGTAAATCTTTGAAAATCCAATACATTTTAGCATTAAAGTCAAACCTTGATTGCATTGTAATATGCTACTTATTCCTGAAAATACCCCCAGTGTGAGATATAGGGAAAGGACAAAGTAGGCTGCTGCATATCCTTTTAGTTAGAAAGAGATTTGAAAATTTTGTTTTGTGTGATTAACACTTTTGTAACTGTTAGTGTTTAAGGGAATTAAATCTTAGAATAGTTTCCTATGTATGAGTTAAAAAAAAAAGAATCTAGTATAAATGTGTGTTTCTAGTCAGTATTTACTATGTAAACATGGCTTGTAGAGAAATAGAGAGGAAGTCAATGAGATATATTCTGACACAGTAAGCTTAGTTTTAAAAAGTGAAACAGAATCATTAACCATACAGCAGATGGAGAAAAGGTAGGGGATTTTTGTCCATCACAAGACTTCACATGCACACATACTTCAGTGGTTTGTGGTATTCCATCGAGTGACTGTTATTTTTCTTCTTTGAATGTTTAGGTGGTTTATTGGACATTTGCTGTTATAAATTGGGCTGAGTAAACACCTATCTGGATGTTTTTGTCTCTCTCTTTAGGATGGATATTCCATCATTAGTTAAATACGTATGTACATAAAATCAGATAAAAACTGCTATTATATAATTATAAGACTAAGACAAATGTAAAAATTGAAATAAAATAGCTGTAAAACTAATGCATTAAAATTAAGTAAACAAATTTGGCAGATTTGGAGGCCAAGTGTCTGAAGTTCATTTCCACCTTTAGTCTTTGGTGGCAGATGTTATCTCAGGGCTAATCTTCCTCAAAAAGAAAAAAAGCGTATATAGAGAATATTAGAGGGTAGTAGTAAAACAAACAGACAAAATTTTTTGTTGACATCCAACACAAAAATTAAAACAAAATATCAAACCAGCATATTTTAAGGTGTTTTTTTTCTTCCATGGAGAGAAATCTAGATTTGAGTTATAATCATCAAACTCAGGAGGTTTTAATAATTAAAATGTGAGTTATAAGGTAAAATCTAAACAAAAGATTACTATGACTTATAAGTTTTAACAGAAAATGTTTGGCACAGGCCAAAAGTGAATGAGAAGGTAGAGATGAGTCAGGTTAAAAGTTTCTCAGACAACCTCTCAAACTGTGCAGTTGAAAACCATTTCACCTAGCAGCCGCTTGGCACTGCCCCGCTGGCATTGTACAGATGGAAGTAGACCCCAGGGCTACAGCCGGAATTGCTCTGGGAACTGGCTCTGGGAGAACCCTGAAAATGAGCCTAAGGTAGTACTTTGTCTATGTGTTGTATTCAGTGCCTTTTGTTCATCTTAAGGAAGGTTTTAGAAAGAGTGACTTTTATCCATCCTCTTTCTCAGACATGCAATCTGGTAAAATACTAATAAGTTGTAAGTGTTTTTAATGTGTTAGAAGTGATTTTAGGTATTCCCATGATTTGTTTTCACTTATCTTTGTGGTATGTGTTGTTTGTATTAATGAGTATCTATCTGGTCTCATAGTAATCTTGTTTTTCTATGCAGAAAAATCTGTTGAGCTACTTTTCATTGACACATTGTAAGTTAATTACTGATTCCACAAAGATGTTGACCTCTCCGTACTTTACATTTTAAGGTATTCATATCAAACTTTTATCTTGTGTCTTTAGCTGTCCAGACTACCCTCAAGTTTACATACAGTGAAAAATACCCAGACGAAGCCCCCCTTTATGAAATATTCTCCCAGGAAAATCTAGAAGATAATGATGTCTCAGACATTTTAAAATTACTAGCATTACAGGTAAGGAAATAACATTTTATGTTTTGTAATGGCATTATTTTACTGGCCTTAAATATTATACATTAATTTCAGGAGTCAGAAAATGCTATTAAATGTGTGAAGCATTGAACAAGCAGAATTCATGATTTATATATATATATCACAAAGCATCTTTTTGTTTCTCACTCTGTACCTTTAAAATTTGAGTAAGCCAAGTTCCTAGACCTTTGTTTGAAACTCAGTCAGCCCTGTCATTTTGGATGATAAAAGTCCGATAGGTACTTTAAGTTATAAACATGGTTTCGATTTGTTTCTCAGAATGTCCAGTTCCATGTGCAGTTAAAAATTCCAACTTTAAACAAAATTTAAACTCCCAACTCCTCTGACATGTTGCAGGCTAGTTGCCTACAATCTGGAAAGAGGACTGGTGATTTTTTTTTTAATCCTAGCTCTCCTTCTCCCTAAGCTTACAAATAGCAACAATGGCTGCTATTTTAGAGGGGAGATTGTGTGGAAGAAAAAATGGCTATTGGAAAGCTCTTCTTGCCTAGTTCTGTGATGGGATGGGCCATCCACAGTCTGAGCTTGGCACGTATTTAAAGCTCTCTTGCTTGGGTAGAAAGGTTTCATGGGTTCTTCAGAGTAGGGAGTAGGGAGAGCAAGTAAAGTCTTTACTCCACCATCTTGAAATTAGAAGTCCTAGTTTTGTTTTTTTCTAGAAGAATTGGAAAATATGTCTCCACTGTAAATGTGACTTGTATATTTCAAGGACTGTTGGTCCTCTGAATGCTGATATTTTAAAAATATTTGGAGCTATTATGAAATGAAGAGTGAAAGAAGATATATCAAGCATGAATTTATGCTGTTCCTGGGCCCCGTTCACTCCGCTACCCAGTATGAAATTCTCTTAATTCTGTTATCATTTGGCTTAACATGCTTCAATTTAAAACATGCAAAGAACTTGGGATAGTATGCTGTATTCAGTTAGTCATATATTAATATAAATTATTTGATCTGAGTGATTTTTTTCCTATGTGTTTTATATTTTATTTATACTCAAACTCCTTCCTTTCAAAAAAGAAGTTTTGGTTTCTTTCTGATACTTACGTGAGATCAGATGTATTGAGGGAGTATTTGTACTTTTTCTCCAAAAATAGTTGTATTAATTTTCAATTATCAAAATAATAAGTTCATGTTATGAAAAACTGAGAAAATCATGAAGAGGAAAATAAAGATTACTCTTAATCTCACCAGTGAGGTACAACTGCCTATTAACCTTTTGGTGTGATATAGTTCCAGACTTTTTTTCTTATGCTATTATAGTCCCCCTCTCTTGCCCCAAGTTAGATCATTCTATACATAATGTTTTATCACATCCTTTTTCTCACATAACAATATATGTGGGCATCTTTCCATTTTAGTAAACATGTATATGAATCATTGTTTTTGATAACTGCATAGAATTTCACTGTATGTATAGTTATACATATCCTTTTTGAAACAATTTAGAATTATTTCTCATTTTGCCTGATTTAATATGTAATTCTTTGAACAGTCTTATATATCACTGTTTATAAATCCTTAGAGCAGAGTCTCCATTGAATCCCTAGTACCTGGCACATAGTAGACTCAAATATTTTTGAATAAACAAAAAGAATGAATTAACAATGAGAATACTAATCCAGTGTTTTCTAGAAGTAGGATTGCTGGATTAAAGGGTATGTGTACTTAAGAATTTCATACACACTGCCCAATTGACCATCAGAATGGTCGTGCCAAGTTATGATCTCACTACAGCCAGTGAGGTGTCTGCCCACATTTGCTAACACTAGATATTTTCATTTAGGAAGAAAAAAATGATAAGAAGATGAAAATAGTATACAATCGTAATTTGTAATTCTTTAATTACTAGTGATATTGAAATCTTTTCATATGACTTCTCGTTGTCTAGTTTCCATATGAATTTTTTTTTTTTCTGTTGGAATACTTTTTAAAAAGAGATCCTACTGGGATTTGTTATTGAAATGTATCAAGCATTAAGTGACCAAGACAGACACCATCCCCTCTTGTAGATTTTATACTCAGTGAGGAATATGGACTAGCATTATTCTGTGTAAAAAATGCTATGATGGGTGAAGTGCAGGATTGTATGAGTGGATATAGACTTGAGCCATTGGAGAAGCTTCCAAGAGGAAGCTGAGACCTGAAGGAAGACTGCCAGGCAATAAAGGGAGTAGAAGAGTTTCAGGGTAGAGGAACCAGCTTGTTAAGGGGCGTGGAAGTGAGAAAGAGAGAAAAGATCGTTATTTCCTTCCCCAGCGTCCAGTCATACTAATACTCTAGCTTAGAATTTGAGGTTGGTGGTAATATATGATGGAAGTAAAGAGATTAATTCCCTAAAGGTCTTCTAAACTATTTTAAAAAGTATGGCCTTGCTCCCATTTGGTTTGGGAAACTCTTGAGGGATGTTAAACAAGAGATTGACTAGATCAGTTTGTGTGTGTATTGAGTGGTCAGAGAAGTTGATGTCAGGGGTGACAAGACCAGAGGTTTTAAGAAGATCATTTAGGAGTTTCTTCTAATATTCTGGGCTGAAGATGATGGTGTCCTAGGTTAGGATAATAACAGTGTTGATAGAGAACGATACATGGATTTAAATGTTACATAAGAATAGATAAGAGGCAGTGATAGAGCTTATGATGGTATGGGAATGTTTAGGCTGGGTGGATGGTGGTGTGATTCTCTGAGATGGAGAGCTTAGAAATAGGTTTTGTGGAGAAGATGATGATTTCAGTGTTGAGATGCCTGTGGTACATCTGAGTCACTGTCCAGTGGACAGTTTTAATATGGGTTTGGCACTCAGGGGAGAGATTTGTGTAGAGTCAGATTTAGGATGGTTAGCGTGGAGACACCAATGGAGAAGCCCCATTGGAAAGGATTACAGAAGGTAGGTTGAAGCCTTGTCTTCATGGAGGGTCCAGGAGATGATACCCACTAAGTGCTGCTGAGGCCGGCCCTGTCAGGGAGTGCTTGGAAATGTCTTCTTCTTCTAGGAGTGAAATTCTGGCTTGTGTATTTGGGGATTTTTTTTTTTTTTTTTTTTTGGCCTGCTTTCTTGGAACCCTATCTTGTTTCTGTGGATAAACAAGATATTTTATTTTATTCTGCCTTCAAATGACCAAATTCCAAATATCTTTTGAATTATATCCCTTTCATGAGTTGGAGATGCTTTTATATTTGATTTTAAACCATTCCAAATTGAAAGAAAAAAAAGTAAAGATAAATCACCTTGGCTACAAAATTCAGTTCATTGTCACAGCTCTTAAAATACCCAAAAAGAACTGAAATAATAAAAACATGCTGGAGAACTGATGTTACTGTTACTAGGAACTGTTGGAAAAGGTTTTCTGAGTTCTACCTTCCTTTATGATTGTTAAACAGAATTTACTGAAATATCTATTTTATGTTGGATATAGCAAATTACATGAATTTTTACATTTAAGACATTTATGTGAATGTTCAATTCTTAAATGATCATTTATCCAAGTGTCTGAACTTACAGTGTAACTGAATTAGTAATCATATTAGTAATGTATCGAGTTTAGTGATTACGCCAAAACACTTTTTCATTGGTTAGCTTTAAATTTTCTGAGAAGTGTGTTTCTCACTGCAACTTTTTTTTTTTGGTTACATAGGCAGAAGAAAACCTTGGTATGGTGATGATTTTTACTTTAGTGACAGCTGTGCAAGAAAAATTAAATGAAATAGTAGATCAGATAAAAACCAGAAGAGAAGAAGAAAAGAAACAGAAAGAAAAAGAAGCAGAAGAAGCTGAAAAGGTATATTTAAGAGCCATGTTTTGTTTCATTATTCTTTAAATCTGGTTTTTTTGGTTGTTTGGTTTTTTGCTTTTGGAAATTTCAGTAATTTTTTTGGAAATCACAAAAATAAATAAAAGTAAATTTTAACAAAGTTTTACTAAGTAAAATTTTAGAAATCCCTCATTTAGTTGGTGACATAGCACGAGTAATGATTAATAATTAGTCAGTAAAGCTCATACAGGTAAAATCAAGAAATATAAATTATTTCACTTATTGTATAGAGTTTAGACTTATAAAGCTCTTACCAGAGTGATTTAAATATTTACTAAATGTAAAGAAAATATCAAATTCTGAAATTGAATAAAAAAAGATAAGCTGTGATGTTAGTATTGTAAATTGACGTGTATTCAAAACATACTACCGACAGTAACAACTTTCTTCTTAACAGTGAATAGCAGCGAGGGTACATTCATTGCATATTATCTTTGTTGTTTGTAATAAAAATAAAAAATGGACTTTTCCAGAATAAATTGCCCAAACCAATGAGAGTAGCCACTGCAGGCAGAAATCAGATTAAATATTTCAAAACTTGAAAGATTGTTTTTCTCTTTTTCTTATAAGTGGCTGTATTCATTCATCTAGAAGATCATTAGGCTTTATTTTTTAAACCACTGTCTCATTTGTCTGGTGATGATATGTCTTCTTTATTTTCTAAGCAATTATTTCATGGCACTCCTGTTACAATTGAGAATTTCTTAAGTTGGAAGGCCAAGTTTGATGCAGAACTCTTGGAAATTAAAAAGAAACGAATGAAAGAAGAAGAACAAGCAGGAAAAAATAAATTAAGTGGTATGACCCCCCTCCCTACTCCTGTTCCCTGCAAACTCCTTTATCACTTCTTATATAGAAAGAGGATCATTTGGACAATTTCTGTAAGAAAATAATATACTTGGGCATCTAGGACAAAAAGAGAAAACATTCTCTCTACATGATGATATTTCTTCACACATAATTATAATTAATTTTTATGGCTTATCTTTGATCTCGATATTGCAATGGATAGATCCCAAGATACAGCTACCATGATTTTCAAGATCACAAGTCTTAGAAGTTGTAGGGTCAAACCCATTGTTTTTCTAGGACTCTAAGGCAGACTAGGTTTTCACTTGTTCCATTTTAATGCAAATACATTTCATATGTCTCTTAGCTGTTTGTTGGGTTCATAAATTTATTGAAATTCACAGAAAAACAGGTTTTCAGACTGGTTTTCTTAGATTATTATACTTTTTAAAGGGCTGTAAGGGAAGATAGAGGACCACTATGTTGTTTGAATTAAACGTATTTATTTCTTTTAGGGAAACAGCTGTTTGAAACAGATCATAATCTTGACACATCAGATATCCAGTTCTTGGAGGATGGTAAGATAATACTAGAATTCCACATGTACATGATGTGTTGTTTTTAATATTAAACCCTGAAAATCAGAGTGATAACTTATTGTAAAATTTTCCTTCCAAGGCTGTAAGGAAATAACATTTTGAATAATAAATAGTAATATTTGATTAATTTATACATTGAACTATAGTATTTTTTAAAGTTTCCTGATAACTTAAGCAACGAAAGGATAGCAGTGGATAAACAATTATGGTCATATTAGCATCTAACAACTAGTAAAATGGGCCACTGTGACTCAGGTGACCTGTTCTCTTCAAATTTCTAGTATCATAAATCTATGGAAATTATATTCCATGGTCTGTCACGGAGCTTTATAAAAACCTCAGATCTGGAACTCCTGGCATGCTCTCCAACCAGAAATCTTACATTTCATACTACTCTTGCTGTCTTCGGAGCATGGAGTCCCTTACGCCTTCCTTCTCCTTTTTGTCCTGACCCTTACCCTTTTTCAGTCTTCTGTCTGTCCATCGTCCATCCATCCACTAATATTTATTGAATCCCTACTATATGCCAAGCACTGTCCTGGCTGCTGAGAATACAGCAGAGAACAGTCTAGACAAATTCCCTGCCCTCATGGAGCTTATGGCCAGGTATGTTTATTAAACTGCACCATCTGTCACACCTCCAGTAGCACACTTCGTTAGCTGTCTGTCATGCCCATCTTGCCAGTTGGAGATCCATCTGGCCTTTCGCTTTGTTTCCTGGACTGTCTGGGAGAGGGTTAAGAATCCTTGTTGATGTGGCCCATTGCTAAATCATACTTAACCTGAGCTGGGCCCTTACTGACTCTCAGCATTCTATCTATCTATCTATCTATCTATCTATCTATCTATCTATCTATCTATCTTAACACATTCTTGCTCCAAGATTTTTATAGTCTTAAAAAAACCAAAAAACAACAAAGATGTCCTTATCCTCATCTATCCCCCTCTCACTTTAGGAGCGTCTTTGACCTACTTTGTTGAGAAATTCTAGATTCAAAAAGCTTTGTCTGTCCTCTCTTGCACTTTAGAAGTTCTATATCTTCACTAATTCCCGACTCCTTTCCCTAGCTGATGAATCAAATGTCTCCTCATATCCAATAACTTACCAAAAGCTGTCTGTTGATTCTGCCTCTGAAATGTCTTTTTAACTCTTTCCTCCTGATTTGAAGTCTATATCATTTTTCACCTGTACTTTTGTAGTGAAAGATGTGATAGCTTTTGTGGTAGCTTCTTAAATTATCTCCATGCTTCCATCTCTTCTTCCTTCTAGGGCTCTTAACTATCCTATAGTTACTGCCTCTGAGATGGTATTTCTAAAACCCATGTTTAATCATGACGTTGTTCTCCTTGAAATCCTTTGATGGTTCTCTACTGCCTAGAGGAAAGGGTTGACCTACACAGTCCTTCAGTCTGGCCTTCGTCTGTGTTATCTCCAGATATTTTCCCTCAAGAATCTTGTATTCCAGTTAGAAGTAGTCAAGGTCTTATCTTTTCTCTCTGCCTTTTTTGTATACATCTACCTAGAATTTTTCTACTTGGTGGATTCAAATTTATCATGAAGATATTTCAGATGTCATCCACTCTCTGAAGCCTTCACTACCTCTCCGACAGAGTCGGTTATTCTTTGGCCTGAAGTTAGCAAATTGTATTTTATTACTGAGCTGCTCATAGGCATGAAGCAAAACTCATTCTCGTTGAATTGAATGTCACTGGGCTAGAGTCTGAGAGGGAAGGAATAAACAAGTTTTGGTGATTTAAGAGTACTGTAATATCGTACCTTTATGTATTTCAGACAAATTGAAGAGTGAAGACGTTTAATGCAAAGCCTGGGTATTGCTTCCTGTAGGGCTTAGATATTGGAATCTTGGAAAGGCATACCAATGGTTACAAGGGGAACTGGATGAGAGTGAAGATCAACTTTATTAATTGAATAAGTTTAGTTGAGCTGTAATGTACATATCTGCCACTATTGGAAGAGTATGGTCAGTGTTCATCAACTCTGTATAACCAGGACATCATCATTGTCTTCATCTTGTAGTATGCTACATCATAAATAATTCATTCTAGGAAGGCTTTTTTTGTAACTAGATTTTTTAGTCTATGAACTGGAAGCATGAAGTTGCTCTTAAAATGTGTGTGTCTCTGCTGACCAATACAGATCATTGTTGTTGTGATTTGCAGTAATAGCTCAGGATTTCATCTTGAACTTCACGTGCACATTTAGAAGTTTCTGTTTCATATTGCCAGTGAATTGTATCTGTTATTCCTGAGTGTAAGACTGAGGGTGAAAACTTTTGTCTTTTGCAGCTGGAAACAATGTGGAGGTAGATGAGTCTTTGTTCCAGGAAATGGATGACTTGGAGCTGGAAGATGATGAGGATGATCCAGACTACAATCCTGCCGACCCAGAGAGTGACTTGACTGACTAACGGACCATCCCCATCTGCAGAGGCTTGACTGCCACAGCATCTGTGGCTATGCTGAGAGGGTGTGGATTTTCCTTTCTTTTTTTCTAAGAAAAAATAATTTTCAGGAGAATATTCTTCTGATAGCTTTCATCATTGAACTAAATAAACTGACCTTAAAATTTTAAATATAAAATGTTCAATTCCTCTTTTTGGTGGGAAGAAGGTCACATATTTAAAATCATTTAGTGTTGGAGAGAGATCCTGCTTATAGCACTGAGACTTGAAGATAGGCTGCTGATGTGCACAGTTGTGAGTATCTATACAGCAGAATTGGAATAAGTCAGAATTTCTATGCTGGAGACAGTGGTGCCTTTTGGATTCTAAGTGTTGTCATTCATATAAAATATTAGAAGACTGAGGTGAATAGAACACTGACCCTTCTGAAGTCTCACCTTCAGGCATGATAAATTCAAGTCTTAAAACCAGAAGCCCATAATATAGTCAGGAATAAAATGAACTTTAGTCCTATAGTAGTATTTTAATGAGAATCCTTTGTGGAGTTATTAACAGTTGTGCACTCTAGGCCCTTCTCAGTTTACATTAATAAACACTGAGCCTCAATCTGAATTTTAAAATAGTGAAATCTCATGCAGTGACATATGCGATTCTGATGCACACTCCTGATTAAGAACACTCTCCTACAGTTATGGAGACTATATATTGTGATGTTCCCCTAATTTCCTAATTAACCAGTCTGAAGGGTTCTGAATTTGTGGGGCCGTACACACCATCTACAAGAAAACCACACATCCACATCCACGCACATGTGACTGTCTTCATACTAATTTGGGATGATTGATTTGGGGACTCCAGGTAGGAGAGCCAGGCTTTATGCAAGTTATCCAGTCACTGCAGTTTCGGAGGATTGGATCTTAACTCCAATAGTAAATTACTTGTGCTATTGCAAATGGCTGCCTTCATTCAAAAATACATAGACCACATACCCACAAGCACAGCAATATCAACCTCACATTTGTCTTTGGAGTCGGAACTTATGATTAAAATCAAATTATTTCAGACAAAACTATCATTGAGGAGTTTGATACTTCTCACCAGCCTTGATCCCAGACCACTAAAAGGGAATAGCAGCATTGTTCAGCATTTTCATGCAGAGAGTAGTCCAAAAGTCTGTGTGGTGTGAGATTTTGCTTTTCCTAAGGAGAGATCCTTTTTGAAATTGACCAGCTGATGCCTAAGAACCGGAAAGAGCAGTTCAGTTAAAGTTAAGAAAAGCAGTGAGGAGTGATGTCCACATCATGGCAGAGTGAGTTATTTTTGTCAGTCACCTATAAGTTGCAACCAGTAGGACATCCATAGTCCAACAAAGGGCTCTGCACAGCACATGGAATGCCTGAGAGACCCATACATCTATACATCTAAAGATGGGGGGGAATGGACCTTCTGGAGGTGGTGGAACCAGGGGAGCAGTGACAGAAAGTCCAGAGACCAGAGGCCCTGGGAACTCAGGTTACATCCATGAATGGAGGCCCCAGGAATCCAGGCAACCCATGCTCCCAGAGGCACCAGGAATCACTGCAGGGCCTGTGACCAGATGCTCTCAGAACTATGATGACTTGTGACCTATGCCTTCCCCCAGTGGTGGTACCTTCAACCCTGGTCCTCCCAGCAGTGGGGGCTGCATCCAAGACCCTGACACCCCTGGAAGTGGCAGTGGCGCCTGTGACCAGAGGTTCCAAGAATTGCACGGGTGCCAGTCACCAGAGGGTGTAGGAACTGCAGTGGCACTTGCGAGCAGCCCCTCTCCCTCCCCCAGTGGTGGCAGGTGGCACCTGTGACTTGAGGCTTCAGGAATGCAGTGATACTCGCAACCCAGCCCCCAGTGGTGGTACCTCCGACTCCAGACCCTGGCAGTAGTCGCATTGCCTGTGACCTGAGGTTACAGGAACCACACAGGTGCTGGAGAGCAGAGATTTGAGGAAACCTGGTGGTGCTTGCGACCTAGGTATCCCAACCCCTGTGGCAGTGATGGTGATACCCACAACCCGTGACCCTAGCTCACCTGGCAGTGGTGGTGACACTCACAAACACAGCACTCCTGGCAGCAGTGTTGCCAGCACTCCAAGATAACCTGGGAGCAGCAGGGTAGGAAGTGCATGTGGCAGCACAACCTGAGCCTGTGGAGAGCCCACAGAGCCAGGTAACAGTGACAGTGGAGCCTACAACTCCGGTCTCCCTCAGCTGCAGGGGCGCCTGCAGCTTTGGCCCCCCTGCCCATAGCAGTGATGCCTGCAGAGCCGACAAACTTGGACATGCCAGAGGTTCCTGTGACCCCAGCTCCTGCCCCACTCTCCCCTTCCTCCCCATTGCAGTGGGGGAACATGTGACCCAGGCAACCCCAGAATTAGCAGAAGTGCTCTGACCCCAGTGGCAACACTCGTGACTGCAGCACTAGTGTGAGCAGCAAGGCACCAGCAATCTCAGAGGCACAAGCAGCACACGGGGCAGTGATGACACCTCTGGCAGAGGCAGTGGAGGCTGGAAAGTGCAGACTCTCAAATACAGTCAAAAGCAGCTCAGAATCAAAGTAACCAAAGCCTTACCCAAATGAGAATGGTGCTTGCTACCACAAATGTGCTGGCAGAGATAATTTAAGTACTATGATGTGCTACAGTAACAGTATCACACAAAGAAAATGATAACTCTCCAGACACCAAACTCAAAGTCATGGAGTATTGTGACCTAACTGACAGAGAATTCAAAATATCTTTAATGAAGAAACTCAGTGAGTTACAAGAAAACTCAGACACTTCAATGAGCTCAGGAATGAATTTAATGAACAGAAGGAGTACTACATCAAACAGATTGAAATTCTAAAAAAGAACCAAACAGAAATTCTGGAGCTGAAGAAAGTAGAAAGCATTGGAAATAGAGCAGACCAAATGGAGGAGATAATAAGTGAGCTTGAAGATAGAAACCTAGAAATGATTCAGGTGGAAGAGGAGAGAGAGTTAACATTTTTAAAAAACAGAGACATATTGACTCAATTAGGAAAAGCCATATAAGGATGATAAGTATCCAAGAAGAGAGAGGGAGAAGAGAGGAGAGAGCTTGTTTAAAGAAATAATAGCTGAGAAGTTCCCAAACTTGGGGAAGGAACTGGACATGCAAGTACGTGAAGCTAATAGAGCACCTAATTATCTCAACATAAAAAGACTTTCTCCAAGGCACATTTATATTAAAACTATCAAAAGTCAATGACAGAGAAAGAATATTAAGGGTGGCCAGAGAGAAGAAAATAACCTACAAATGAACCCCCAATAGGCTATCAGTGGATTTCTCAGTAGAAACTCTAAAGGCCAGGAGAGAGTGAAATACGTTCAAAATATTGTAAGATAAAAACTGTTAGTGAAGAATACTCTATTCAGCAAAGGGATCTTTCAAATATGAAGGAGAAATAAAGGTTTCTCTAGACAAACAGAAGTTGAATGAGTTCATTGCCTCTAGGCCTACCTTACAAGAAATTTTGAAAAGAGCTCTTCTACCTGAAAGGAAAAGGCAAACGTATACAAAGCTGTAGGCAAGGTGATAGAATCAGAAAATTGCTACTGTGTATGAGAACAGGTTAGTAAACAATTAATTATAATATAAAGGCTAAAGGGAAAAAAAGCGTTAAAAATAACTACTTCAATTTGGTAACAAAATCACAATACAAAAAGGATAATTTGTGACAAAACATAGATGGGAAAGAGGTAAAGGATGGAATCTGCATAGGCAAATAGAGATAGGATGCTATCAACAGAAAAAGGACTGTCTCATCTATGAAATCTTTTATACAGACCTCATGGTTATCACAAAACAAAAAATCAGAGCAGAGTCACAAAACATAAAAAAAGGAGAAACTGAGAAACACATCACAGAAAATGACCAAACTGAAATAGCAGACAGAAACACAAAGAAAAAGAAACAATGGAAATACAGAACAACCAGAAGACAGAAGATAAAATGGCAGTATTAAGTTTTCATATATCAATAATCACCCTAAATTTAAATGGATTGAATTCACCAATCAAAAGACACTGAGTGGATGGATGGATTAAAAAATAATAGCCAACAATATTCTGTCTCCAGTATACCCAGCTCAGGTCTAAAGAGAAACATAGGCTCAGACTGAGGGGATCAAAGATGATATTCCAAGCAAATGACAACCAACAGAAAGTGGATGTGCCTGTACTTAGATAAAGTAGATTCCAAGCCAAAGTAGATTCCAAGCCAAAAAAGAGAACAAGAGAGAAAGACAAACATTACATAATGATAAAGCCTACAATCCACCAAGAAGATATAACATTTGTTAATATATATGTACCTAACAGAGGAGCACCAAAATATATAAAGCAACTGTTAGTAGATCTAAAGGGAGAAATTCACAGAAAAATAATAACAGTAGGGGACTTTAATACCCCACTTACATCAATGGATAGATCATCTAGGCAGAAAGCCAACAAGAAAACATCAGCGTTAAATGAAACGTTAGACCAGATGGACTTAATAGATATATACAGAACATTCCATCCAAAAACTGCTGAATACACGTTCTTTTCAAATGCACATGGAACATTCTCCGGGATAGATCACATATGAGGCCACAAAACAGGTCTCAATAAATTTAAGAAGATTCAAATTATATCAAGCATCCTTTCAGACCACAATGTTATGAAAGTAGAAATCAACTACAAGAAGATCACTGGAGAAGTCAAAAATATGTGGAGATTAAACAAAATGCTACTGAACAACTATTGGACCAATGAAGAAATCAAAAGAGAAATTAAAAAATACTGGAGACAAATGCAAATGAAAATAAGAAATACTAAAATCCATGATATACAGCAAAATCAGTACTAAGAGGAAAGTTTATAGCAATACAGGCCTACCTCAAGTAACAAGAAATATCCCAAATAAACAATCTAACAATACACCTAAACTAACCAGAAAAAGAAGAACAAATGAAGCGCAAAATCAGTAGAAGGAAGGAAAGAATAAAAATCAGAGTGGAAATAAATGAAACAGAGACTAAGAAGACAATAGAAAAGACCAATGAAACTTACAGCTAGTTCTTTGAAAAGATAAACAAAATTTTATCTAGACTCACTAAGAAAGAAAGAGAGAAGCCTCAAA